TGTAGGAAAGCTGGAGCTATTTCTAAACCTGACAAACATGTAGATCCCATCTAAGTTATATTAGCAAAGAAAATATGGGCATTTTTAGACATTTTGACTCATTTTAGTAATCATGAAAATATTAATTTCTACATCCAAATGGGGGGAATCTCAAGATTTTTTGTGAATATTCCTGATTTTTAGACAAAATTTGGTGAAATTTCAATACTGTTCATTTTATCTGTGCTTTCTGAGACTGAATAAGCCAACATTGGGCATTAGAATATTTTACTTACTGTTAAAAATTCAATAAAAATTGAAAATTGAGAAATTTGCAGTAAAATCACAATTTTTCTTCAAAACTTTGATTTTTTTTTTTTTAATTAACTTTTTTTAGTTTTTCTGTAGCCAAACTATGTTATTCATATTTTCTGAGAACTTAATCTTCATATTTTCAAAACTAAGGCATATCAGTGACAGCCTTATCACACACAGACAGGACACAGATCACTAAAGATTTCCCCATTGACTCCAATGTTAATTCTCGTATCTTAGACCGGCTCTAACTTTTTCCCAAATTTTCGTTGGGTAGAACGCTTTCTACCACAGATGGAGCAACATGTGGCAACCACTTGCCCAAAAGCACGTATGAGGTTCTTCATGAAAAACTTGAGATACACAAGCTGGAAGTAGAGACAAGTAAACATGCAATTTCAGGCCCTACATTTCAACGTAACCAACCTCTCAACTCTTGTATCCTTCCGCATCAAAATTATGAATATTCACCAAAACCTGGCAGAAAATGTATTTTCAAACCCTTTTCCTCAATTCTACACCAAAAAGTCAACAAAAATCGCCATGCAAAAGGGGGAAAAAGGAAAAGGGAGAGGAAGACTAAAAATAGCTTTGGCCCTTGTTTCGTGGGTGACGGCGTAGGAATATTTGGTGATCTGTCTCCTATATAGGGGTGAAACTTCAGGGATCACCAAAAGGCCTTTTTTATTTCCTTCCCATGTGTTCTGGCAACATGCCGGTGAAAGAAAATCAAAATCAAAGAATAACTGTAAAAATGATGGCCCTTTAAGTACACATGCTGCTTTATGTACACTGGTGCATCTCAGGTCCATAGGCCTTTTGTGCTAAAATTTAAAAATCTTTCTTATTAAAGGCAGTATCTGAGTTCTGTGAAAAAATTAGACAAGTAACAAAGAAACTACATACAAAACACTCATAATTTGGAATTTTTTTCAAAAATATAATTTTTTACTGCCATGTGATGAAAAATGTACAAAATTTACATGTAGCATCTCTCAAAATACCAATAATTTTCCACTTTTTTAAATATCCGGACGGACAAGAAATATATTTTTAGAATCTGTGGACAATATGCAAACAGAAAAAATGCAAACCAGTTGCAATGATTGTAATATTAGAGATCTATACTGAAACATGTATGCCTACCCCCTGAACATGCCACTGATTGAATTAATCTAATCTATGGTTGCAGAACTTACATTACCAAAGGAATCTGTCTAACAGCTATGTTTTACCATCCCTGGCTAACATATGCACATATAAACTAAAATAGGTGCAATAAATATGAATTATGGTTAAAAAACGGCCTTGATGAATGAAAAAAATGCCATATTTGGTCTATGATCACCCCTCTCTAACAGAAGGGTCACAGAATACACAATTTTCACAAATTTGGGAATATTTCAATGTTTCCAACATCTCAAACCTCAGAGGCATGTTACAAATTTGTATTGCAATCCTTGTGCTGAAGCAAGATGTCTGGAACTTTACATTAATTTCCTGAAAAAATGAAGTCAAAAAAGTAGTCATGACAGACTTGACAACATAAAAAGAGGCCTGAAAAGGAGAAAAATTAACATTTTATTGTTTTATAGGCAACATAAATGCAGCAAACACCACAAATGCTGGATTTTGATAAGAAAATATTGAACATTAAACTGACATTTACACATCTACACCAGTTTTATATCTGGGTCTGGTCTCATTGGCCTGAAATGCCTCAGGGTTCTACGTTTGACTCTGAACAAATAAGGGTTAGAAATCCTTGAAATGCACAAAAAAAATATTTTTGGGTGAAAAATAACATTCTTAGCTGTAATTCAACCACAAATTCCAATTAAGATCATTTACATGTCAACACAGGTGCATTTAAATCCCTCAAAACACATTAATAGAAAAGGGTGGGGTGGGGCATTTATTGCCTCTCTAAACAGAATGATGGAATAAAAAATGTCTAGAAAGGCTGGGATATTGCTTCCTACATGAAGGAAATGCAAGAATTTAATGTTTCAAAGAAGAAAAAAAATGCTTATTCTGGGTAAAATAGTGGCAAAATTGAGCCAACCCCTGTTTTGAACATTTTGTACAAACCCATCTGCTGTACATTATTAACTCAGTGTTACCAATTTTCAATTTTCTGTAGGAAAGCTGGAGCAGTATAGCTTTTAGCTATTAAACAGAACAGATCACAGAACGGCTTGAACTGGGACAGTTCGCCTCTTTATAAATAGTATAAAAGAGTTTTCCCAGTCCATTAAAACTTACCTGTATATATGTTATGATACATAATAAAACTTTATAGTTTTATACAGTTTTGTTCCGTTTGTTCGAAGAAAGAGAGCCAAACAGAGCAAAACTACTTTTTAGCTAGTTCGCCTTCTCCTCTGAAGAGTCTCTACTTTAAACGGCTTGTGATCGGCCAATAGATCACTGGTGGCAGAGAAATTACCGGGGTGTGGGTCCTGAGCAACAATTGCAGCAGAATTCCCCACACTACCAAACCGCTACACAATTTCGTGGCGAAAGACAGAAGAAGAAGTAAAAAAGCGCGCCACACTACATTACAACTTTTATAAAACTAACATAAAATATTTAAATTAAATTCTCGGAATCCGCAAAAATAGTGACACATGAGTGAAATGGGGTATTTCGGGTTATAACACATGCGTCAACTGAATAAGATAATATCTCAACCAACCATGCAGGCCAAAGCACAGGCACTTGAAGGGATTAAAATAAAACTTCTTACTACTCTTTGACTATATATAACAGTAATAACAAGGTTTATCAGCTGACATTTTGTTTTGACTTGTTGACGACCTTTCGTCTGCTATCATCTCACAATACTCACTAGTTCTAACACTTTCCGTCGTTTTTATTGCCAACGAAACTTTATTTGATCAGTATACACTTCCAATGTAATTAAATTGGTCATTTTACAGCGTTATTAATTACAAATCAAACTTGATTTAAACGGATTGAAACTCGATGACCTCCAATATTTAACAAGAATGAATTAGTATTTAGTCTGTCCTGTTTAAATGTTGTACACATGAATTGAATGACAACAATTGGTGCCACTTTATACTCACCCATAACCAAACTGCTCCCTCACCGGCCACCCCAATTACAAAAACAACGCAAAGAAAAGAAAAATAAATATAATCAAAACAAAAATACTTTGATAATTCGCCTCACACCGTTTTACAAACGTTTATAACAATAAAAGTGCTTACTAATCTTGCGGCAATATGAACATAAAATATATATTGTTGATATTACATGACAATAAAAGCTCTAATGGTACAACCCTATAAGTACAATAATAATCTTTTACAGGTATTTATGTATCTGAAGCAGTGTTATTAGGACTTACTGTTGACCAAAATTTAGAATGGAATCTACAAATTAACAAAATTCCCAAAATCATATCCTCCAAAAGCTACCCCCTGACAAAGTTAAAACCTTATTTTACCACACCATCTTAGAATTTTATTTTTCAACGGTTATATTTTACCATACTTAGATTACTGTTCCAGAGTTTGGAGTAATGTCAATACAGGTAAACTAGAGGTCCTGTATAATGCTCACCTTCAAAATTCTAAGAGACACATTACCATCATATTTATATAACACATTTTATGAAAATTCTAAATTGACCGAAACTACCATGACATTGAGATCAGAAAGTCAACTTAAATTAGCAATTCCAAAAAGTAAGATAAAGGCAATGACAAAAACATTTCAATATACCGCCTCTGTATTCTGGAATTCACTACATCAAACTGTGAAACATGCGTCTTCAAGTTTTATCTTCAAAAAGGAGTTAGTAAAACATGTTACATCTTTGAACCCTTATTATATATATATATATATAATTACTTCTTTCCTTGTTTGTAAGCTTATATAATATGATATATATACAATTTGTAAATATTGTTACTGTGTAGTTGCTAGTTTTATAGAGTAGGAGGGACATGTTGGAAATTACAACTCATGTACTAAAGATGTTGAGGGATCACGTGGCTAAGTGGGTAATATGCTGGCTCGCTAGCCTGGAGGTCGGGTGTTCGATCCCTGCATTGGCCGAGAAAGTTTATCCAGACTTTCCGGCGTGGTTTCCCCTTGTCAGTGATGCAGGACGGAGGGCCTGACAAGGACAGCTGTCTAGTCATTCGGATGGGACGAAAAACTGAGGTCCCGTGTACACATTGGCGTGCACGTAAAAGATCCCTTGGCAGTTGGAATTCGACATAAGAGTAGGCCGTAGCGCCGCTGCCCGGGCAAAATTTCCCCCATAGCACACTGTATGGCGTATGTCCGTCTTCATTAGCCCAGGTTAGGAGCAGAACAGTAGGACGTTAAACCCCATTTCATTTACTAAATATGTTCCCTCAGAAAATAAAATCATTATTATTATTTAGTAACTGGATAGAGCAATCAAATATAACACATACTTATAGAAAACAGCTACTACTATATTTAGTAACTGAATACAGCAATCAAATATAACACTTACTTATGGAAAAACAGCTACTTTGGTTGAAGCTAGGATACTGTCACATCACCATATTGATAACGATAATAATCTTTAATGCTTCTTATATTACTAGCTGTTGTTCGATACAGTATGTGTAATAGTTTAATATAATACATATATTAAACTAGATCTAAAGAAGATTTCTTTATAATAATGATATCATTACCTTGAATAACTGTACTTTGAATTACTTGTATCGGCGTCTACAGATGATATTTTACAGCAGAAGATGAACAAATTAATTTTACTCTGTGATAGTAGTCTGCTTTCTACAAGACTCGATTACACAGTCTCTAGGCGTGCAATGTTTAAATTCATGTATGGATATGCAAATAAATGACTTAATAACAAGAGCTATTAAACTGGTTTTCCCCTTACCATAAATAGATATTTAGTCATATGTCACATGTTTTAAGTGATGTAAGCGGAGTTTGATATAGCTTATCCAAAAGGTAACTAGTCTGTGAAATTTACCTGTTCAAATTGGTTAGTTTAATAACTATACTAGTAATATAGCCTAAACAATTACAGACCTATATATGTTCATATAACAATATATACCAGTATTACATACCTATATGTTCATATAACAATATAAACAATAAACACTACCTTGTAACAGTAATAGTAAAATAGTTACTCGTTTCCAAGAATTACACAAGTATAGTTTCTGAGAACCCAGTATTCCCCGATATCTGCTGTTTAAAGTTATAACAGTTATATCATACATATGACCTATATCACTTCGTTCACAGTCATTATTTACATTATAAAAGAGATATTTTCAGTATACGCAGCTATTGTCAAGTTGCTGTGCAATACACATGCGTATGTACAAATAAAATGAAATGGGGCTCAACGTCCTACAGTTCTGCTCCGTTTGTGCTAACGGGCAAACGCCATGCAGCTTGCTATGAGGGACATTTTGCCAAGACAGCGGCTGTATGGCCTACTCTTATCTCGAATTCAAACTGTCAATGTTTCTTTTACGTGCATGCCTATGTGTACAAGGGATCTCGGTCTTTCGTCCCATCCAAACGACTATACGTTGTTGCGTGCAAGGTCATCCGCCCTACAAGACAGACAAAGCAGAATCACGCCGGAAAATCTCGATGAACTTTCTCGGCCAAAGCAGGGATCGAACACGGGACCTCTAGGTTAGCGAGGCAACGTCCTAAGCACTGAGCCACCATGGCTCTGAATCAGCCTTACGGGTTGGCGTATAGTATTGACAAGTCCCTAAATTACTTAAGAATGAATGAAGTTTAACGTTCCACTTGTCTGCACTGACTTATAATCATCAATAAAATATTGATCTAGTTGTAGATTTACTCTTTGGCCTGTACCTTAATTACAGCCTCTCTTGCTACAGTAAGTGTCAATTGTTATCTTAAAGATACATTATGGGAGATGAGATAAAGAGATGGCAGTTCTCGCTATAATAGTTAAAAACTAGATAGTGTAAAGGTAATTTGCTGAAAATTTCAGTCAAATTGATCCACTATGAGCCGAGAAAGAAGCAGGTGAAATTTTTGCATAGTCTCGGTCATCATTACTAAAATCATTAATAAAAACAGCATTATCCACTTTTTCTGATATAATTATCAACGGCCGTTAGCGGTATATAGGAATCTAATCCAGCCAACATCGAAGGCTAGCCTTGACATCGAGAGTTTATTATTGTCTGGATAAGTTAATTAATGTCTAATTGATAATTTAGATAACATTTCAGGCCTAAAGAAAGACTTGTAATAAACAGATTTTGCTCTTGCATAATGCATGTTTAATTACAGCCTCTAATTACTTTCCATGGACACAAATTAGAAGAGGGTAATTTTTGATGATATCTTTTATTCATTGACATTCTTAACAAACATTCCTGGTCATTTTGACATTCTCAATGAACCATGTTGGTCATTCTGACGTTCTCAACAAACTACCCTGGTCATTTTGGGACTAACATACGGTAATTTTAATTTTCTATGTTTACATTAGTCCAGTTGGTACAGAAAAGTTGAACGATAAACCCCATTTTATTTTGGTTTTAGTTTGTCAAGAATATCGCTATATCTATGAAATTCTGTATCGCTTAATTCACATTAATAAAAAAAAAAAAAGGTTGGAAAAAACTACCATGAAATTAGTCAGGTAGGTATAATGAAATAAAAATAGAAACTTTATCGCGATCAACATGAACAGATTATCCCGGTGTCGTTTAGCCAGTTTTGAACACTCGTTTATTAAAAGTATAATTTGATTATTTATCTGAGTTATCGTCGTTAGTGTTGGAATAAGCTACAACCCCCAGAATACAGCACTACAGCAATAGTCATGAATTACGAGGTAAACTATATGCTAGATAATTCTAGATAGTGTATTGTTTGAATATATAATTCATGTAATAGAGTGATGTTTAGATGTCCGTCTACACGACTGTATATACATGTGTGTTTTATAATACAAGTATCGTATGATACAAGTCAGGTCACCACGCCCCGTGGATCACGATTGGACAAATAATCAAATAATGGCAGACGTTCGGTGTAACCAAGAATACAAATAATGATTACCCTTAGATTTATGTATTTGATTTCATATATTCTATATAAAAGATTCACCCAGCTATAGCCTATATGGTATATTAGAATAAAAACCTATCATTGCAGATAAGATTATAGTACAATATGCCTGTCGTATCACAATGGATATATCGTATTTCAATAGATTTTATAATTACTGTATTCAACAATATTTGGCTTGGTGATTCTTTTTTTCTTTTAAAATATAAAACATTGTTATCGCCTACTCCACATAGATTTTGTTTTGCTTCTATTATTTTGTCCCCTATATCAGATATTTTGATGTCTAGATGTCTTATGAAGAAACTAAGTTACAATTGTCCCAGATATTGCTATGTTATTATCCGAGTTAGTTGTTAGATATACCCTTGTAATAATAGTGTATTAACACATCGATGACGTGAAGTATGTATTATTAGAAGTCAATATATATCATATCTACATTACAACTTTTACAAAACTAACATAAAATATTTAAATTAAATAAACTTTAAATTACATGTCACTTACTTTATTGACACAGGCTTCAATATGATAATAATCCTCTCTATAGAGTGTGACAGTATTGGTACTTTAATCAGGTTCTTGGATGACAACACTGGTATATACATCTAATAATAGTTTTATTCTGCTTCTTACAATATTAGGTACAAACATCGTGATGTAAACGACCGTAGAACTAACTATATGGAAGGAGTCATGACTTAATTAGCTTGGCTTAGCATGAGTGTGCTAACTCCAGAAGCTGTCGTCTCGTACCGTCTCGTGCCAAGGCGCCCATGGCCTTAGCTCAGTCCTGGCCGGACCTAACTCCTAGCCCTGCCTGGACCTCTCTCGTATCCATTAGGTACCTTGATCTAGGCACCCGCCTAGCATGGCCTCCTGGACCCGCCTGAAGATTCGTTTCTGTTCTGAGTTTATAAACGTATTCGAGACAAAGGAGCTCATTAGACACCTGTCTAATGTATCAAGCATCATATGAAGGTTTAACATTCAATATAGTTTATCAGACAAAGAAAGTTAGATAAGACATGCCAACAACAAGTTATAGTTACGCAATGACATAAGGAATACTACCAAGATCTCCAGCCGGGTATTGATAGCGACAGGTTTATGTTACAATCACTAACACGTATTTTAATATGGCAGGACGCCTCTATGACATAAGTCATTATGTTATATACCTCTCTTTGTTTGAATAAAGTTATGAATTATATGAAATAACTTTTAAAGACTATTACAAAATTAGATACCTATGGAGTCGATAATTACTACTCTTATTAAGATATAAACAACAATAATAATAATGAAAAAATATATAAAAACAAACAACACTCGTAAAATGTCGTATACAAAAATGTCTATAAACAAAAAGAAAAGGTAAATGAAACACACACGAATTTAAAAGTTATATATACATGTAAAATGTCATAATATCCAAAAATGTCTTTAAACAAAATGAAAAGGTCAATGAAAAACACACGAACTTAAAAGTTATATACACACAATCGGTCACACACGCGAGTCAATGAAAAAAAAAAACAAACGAGATCCTGGAATCACAAACACAGACTACTCTTATTATTCACATAAATGGTGGAATCGCGAACACAAACTACTGTAATTATCTTCTTAGACCGATTATTTGGTGGAATCGCGAACACAAACTACTGTAATTATCTTCTTAGACCGATTATTTGGTGGAATCGCGAACACAAACTACTGTAATTATCTTCTTAGACCGCTACTGCACTGTCGTAGCCAACTGTAGGGGTGGGGTACATATGATGCCCTTCCTCGTTCCAGTAATGTTGAGGGGTCAGAATATTCCCTGCTCCGTTTAGTTCAGCTCTTCTTATTGACCGGTAGTCTTTTCATTTTCCATACCGTCTGGCAAAACGGCGTGTTATGACATGTGCATATGAAGAGTATTAACTGCCACCCGTGCCGAAGTTTTATCATCTGCTTATCATATATATCATGGAGTGAACTTAATTAATAGTTAATCAAATTAGCAAGTGGAACAGATTTGACTTTAGATATCGATCTAACGATATTTACAGTATTATTTACATGGATACAATTGAAATTAGGGAGTCATATTGTTTTATCTCAAGAATAATGAATGATCTGAACACATTTAACCAATCTTAAATAAGATATTTTTGAAAGAACTAACGGTTTATCTCTATAATTTTTAAACACAACACAAAATAAGACGATACGTTCGCTCTTAAATCCGAGCACAACCCTCCTGGGGTTAAACCACTTAACATAAACTTCTCCCGTTACATATCGGGGCATTTCCCAATAAAACTCTGGGGTATTACAAATAAAACTCTCTACCGTAAATATCGGGTCTCCCGTAAACCTCGGGGCATAAATATATATAGACAAAATAACAACAAAAAAAATTATAAGAGATAAAACCGTTAATACCGTGTGATTAAAGAGCTATATCTCTCAATTAGGATACGCTTAACTCTATTCCAGATAATTAAACAATCATAAACATTTCACTTCGCAGTTATTAGCCTGATAATACTTAGCTACTACTAAATTTAAAAGCCAAAATATGTGTTCAAAACAACCAATGATAATTCATAATCTTTTAAAAACAACATGACGCATTTTAAAACAAATAATATATATACAATTTTGTTTTAGCCATTTTCCTGTTCCACTACTAGCTTGAAAGGCAATATATTAAATTTAGTAACTACACCATGATATTTAATGACGCGTGATGATAAACTGCTGATTTCCCAGTTAAATTATAATACATTATAGCACAATGTCATTATTAACCGGCCATGGTAGGATTAGAAAAAGACTTACCCGTGTAGACTAATATCTGTGGCCTGTGATCTTCTAGTGGTATACGACTTTGCACGTTGCTCTGGTCTACGGCGCCAATTAATATGTGACAGTATTGGTACTTTAATCAGGTTCTTGGATGACAACACTGGTATATACATCTAATAATAGTTTTATTCTGCTTCTTACAATATTAGGTACAAACATCGTGATGTAAACGACCGTAGAACTAACTATATGGAAGGAGTCATGACTTAATTAGCTTGGCTTAGCATGAGTGTGCTAACTCCAGAAGCTGTCGTCTCGTACCGTCTCGTGCCAAGGCGCCCATGGCCTTAGCTCAGTCCTGGCCGGACCTAACTCCTAGCCCTGCCTGGACCTCTCTCGTATCCATTAGGTACCTTGATCTAGGCACCCGCCTAGCATGGCCTCCTGGACCCGCCTGAAGATTCGTTTCTGTTCTGAGTTTATAAACGTATTCGAGACAAAGGAGCTCATTAGACACCTGTCTAATGTATCAAGCATCATATGAAGGTTTAACATTCAATATAGTTTATCAGACAAAGAAAGTTAGATAAGACATGCCAACAACAAGTTATAGTTACGCAATGACATAAGGAATACTACCAAGATCTCCAGCCGGGTATTGATAGCGACAGGTTTATGTTACAATCACTAACACGTATTTTAATATGGCAGGACGCCTCTATGACATAAGTCATTATGTTATAAGAGTCTTTTATTTCAACAATTTAATGGCGACGTTACAGTTTAATTTACTTCCTAGTTGTATCAGGGGTTGGTATAATAAAATGAGTGGTTGCTATATATTAGTATTTATCTGAAAAAGGGGTGGAGCTTATCATTGACCTACAGAATTTGAATAATATATCAATAGGGAGATGCTAATTGTAGGCCGGTTGTAGTAGGTGGAAATTAAGAAGAATACCACTCCTTGAACCCGACCCTTGACCCTGGCTGACAGCTGTCAATCTGTTATCATGACTACGTAAACCGAATATGGGAGGGGCGATATCTCCTCTACCTTTGAGTGATTCTCTATAGGTCTACTCGATTGAACGTTCCAGAATTGAATTCTCGCAATCCCCAAAATAAGTGACACTCGAGTGAAAAGGGGTATTTCGGGTTATAACGCATTCGTCAGCCGAATAAGAAAATATCTCAACCAACCATGCAGGCCAAACATATTTGTTGTGTTTAAACACGTCACTATTCTATTCACATCACCTCCGTGGTGAGGACTGACCGAACTGTGACAGGACCATGGGCGTCACACATGAGGGGGTCGGGTCTGAATATAATTGGACCCCCCCCCCACAAAAAAAATAACAAAAATTACATAGTAGGCCCTAACTCCTATGTAATTACAACAATTATTAGGATTTGTTAAGATTATATCTGTATAAAACCTGTTCATATCCCAATATGTTGGTGTGATGTTTTAGTTTAACCCCGTAAAATATGCCAAAACAGTGTTTACAGGTGACCCTCCCACATCTCCCTATCGCACTACATCTTTCATTTCTGTCCGTTCTGGACTGCGAATCGAGCACCCCCTAAGTAGCCTACAAGGTAGTACATTACTAATATATATTTTATAGTATCATAGACTAGATTATATTAGACATTGTTGATACAACATTATTTAACAAATCATAGAGATGAATACAATACATGTACGTTAAGGTATACCAACTTTGTTTGATTCTAATATATTATATACAATGTTATAAAACCCCAGTTATTACCTTGTCTTGATCTGTTAAACAATTGTTCAGCTATTCCTCGTTCTACTAACCCTGTCCATCCCCTAAACAAACAACACGTCAGGTCTATTTTTAACTGGAAAATCCAGGCTTATATATATAGACACGTGCCGGCAAACCCGATTTCTATATTTAAAGATGCATTATGTTGGAGTTAAATCTGTTTATTACAGGTCTTTATATTAGCTTCAAAAGTTATAAAAATTATTATTTAGACATGTATTCACATGGCAAGCCTGTGATCAACCCATTCTCTAGAACATCGGATGGCGGAGATTTAAACGGATGGAAACTCGATCTCCATTTTATTCTGTCTTTGTATCTTTAAATAATAAATACTAATGGGAGAAATTGGTCAGGAAGACAAGATTTCTTTGAATTCCTAGTGCCGAGGAATATACAAACATTTATATATGACCTCAAATATTGAACAAGAATGATTTAGTCTGTCCAGTTTAAATGTTGTACACATGAATCGAATGACAACAATTGGTGCCAACGTCATACTCACCCATAACCAAACTGCTCCCTCACCCACCTCAATTACAAAACAACGAAAAGAAAATCAAAAACAAAAATACTCTGATAATTCGCCCGGCCGCCCTGTTTTACAAAAGCTTATAACAATAAAAGCGCTTACTAATCGTGGAGTAATATCAACATGAAATATATGTTTATTTCATAACATTAATTGAAAGAAGATATATTTATTGATGTCGTATGACAATAAAAGCTCCAATTGTTCAACCATATCAATACAATAATATTATTTTTAGAGGTATTAAGTAACTGGATATAGAGCAATCAAATATAACACATACTTATTGAAAAACAGCTACTACTATATTTAATGACTGAATACAGCAATATAACACTCATACCCTACTGTTCTGCCCCGACTGGGCTAATGAAGACGGGCATACGCCATACAGAGTGCTATGGTCTACTCTTATACCGAATTCCAACTGCCAAGGGATCTTTTACGTGCATGCCAATGTATACAAGGGACCTCGTGTTTTCGTCCCATCCGAACAACTTGACAGCTCTCCTTGTCAGGCTCCCCGTTCTGTACCACTGACAAGGGGAAACCACGTCGGAAAACATACTTATGGAAAAACAGCTACTAATTTATTTGGTTGAAGCTGGGATACTGTCACATCACCATATTGATAACGATAATAATCTTTAATGCTTCTTATATTAATTACTAGCTGTTGTTCCATACAGGATGTGTAATAGTTTAATATAATACATATATTAAACTAGATTTAAAGAAGATTTCTTTATTCCTATCGTGTTTAAATAATAATGACATCATTACCTGGAATAACTGTACTTTGAATTACTTGTATCGGCGTCTACAGATGATATTTTACATCAGAGGATGAACGAATTAATATTTATACTGTCAGGTTTTAGACGGTGGGTGGAGATATAGTAGTCTGCATTCTACAAGACTCGATTACATAGTCTCTAAGCGCGCAATGCCTAAATCCATGAATGAATATGCAAATAAATTACTTGATAACAAGAGCTATTAAACTGGTTTTCCCCTTACGATAAATAGATATTGAGTCACATGTCACGTGTCTAAGTGATTTAAATGTAACCAGGTGTAAAATTTACCTGTTTATTTTAATAAATAGACTATATATATATATATTCAATTAACTAGTTTAATACCGAGTCTAATGACAGGAACTCATCTTTTTATTTAAACCCACCGTGTTATTAAGCTAGAGGTTTAGTTTCTTTAAATGACAAGACATATTGGTACAGAAGTAAAACTACTCAACATAAAACAGTTTATCAAACTGATGGAAATATTCTCACGTTTCTCTGTCGAAATTTACCAAAACTTCTATTTGAAGTCAACACCTAATTTTAAAGGGCTGCCATTATTACAAAGTTATATGTGTGTGTGTTTTATTTATTTCTTTACAGACAAATACTGAAACACATAATTATGATATACTAGATTAAACAGAATCCTCAGTGACCGATGATCGACAATACTATAACTAATACCATTACTAGAACATAAATATCTTCCACAATACCAAATAAAACATCTAACTACCATGAAACTATAGACAGAATTTAAATCTGTTTTAAAACCTCATCTATTTAATAAGGTGTGATCATTGATATACTCTAGATATACTTTACCCATAATATACAATGTGACTGAACAGTGATTAGAAATAACCATTGAACATAATGTAGCGCTATATAAGACAATTATTATTATTAATTATTATAATTACATTAATATACTTGTCCAATATAAACCAAACAATCTGATAATAAAAGGACATTTCAACCTTCAATTAGAAAAAAAAACCAGTCCATAATATTTCTAAAAATTACTTAATAATCTTAAATGTGAAATCTGAAAATGCGCAGTAACTCGGCCAGATACATTTCGTACACCGTTTGATATAATGTTACAATCTGCCTACAAACAATACCACAGTACAGAAACTGCTTTACTCAAAATCACCAGCGATATCTACCGAGCTATCTAAGATCAACAGAAATTGATCAAACGCTAGTTAATTTTGATAAAGAAATAATTTCAGGAACCCATAAAGCTCTAAATATTGGTGCTATATTAGACTCGAACCTATCGTTTAAAGATCATATACAAAGTATTTGTTCCACTGCTTTCTATCATATACATCGAATTGAGAAGATCCAACGCTATCTCAATTATGAAAAGAAAGAAAAACCCATCTACGCATTCATCTCAACTAAACTAGATTACCATAATGGCTTACTATACGGCTTACCAGACTATCGGATTAACAAACTACAACATGTTCAAAATTCAGCAGCTCGACTCCTCGCTAAACCAGAAAACATCAACACATCTCCCCTGTATTGCAATCTTTACATTGGCTTCCAATTCAGCAAAGAATTAAGTTCAAGTTACTCCCCTTTCGTTTTCAAAGCGTTAAATGACCAAGCTCCATCTTATATAAAAAGTTTTGTAGAACCCTACACTACCAGCAGAATTCTCCGTTCTCAGAAAAAAACATCTTCTAAAATCTCCAGCCATTAACTTACAACTTGGAAAACGTTCCTTTTCTTGTGCTGGTCCTTTTCTATGGAATAGACTACCACAATCAATGAAATAACTACCGTCTGGGGGCCATTTTAAATCTCAACTCAAAACATTCTTATTTCAAAACCCTGATCTGTAAATAACCAGTGAATATACAGTGGCGGCGCCAGGGAGGGGGGGGGGGCAATCTGGTCTGCCCTGTTTGCCCCCTCCCCCCCAATAATTTTAGAAAATAAAAAAAAGTATTTGTGATATGTTTCGGTAATCAATATCTTCTACAGTGAATAAATCCCACATCCCCACTCAGTCATAAACTTGCATGTTGTAAAGCATTTCCGACAGTCTATTTTTCAAAATTTTCTTGGCAAAGTCCTCAATGGACTCGTTACTTTGGCGTTCACAAGGGGTATTCGTTGAGGTTCGCAAATCCGTTCGTTTGACATTTTGTTCTCTAGTCGGATAAACTAGTGATCAGGCGACGGACGGTATCTGGTCAGATCTATTTATCTCGACGATCGGTGCCTGGGAATACTGTAAGACAGCATTTCCGGCAGTCTATTTTTCAAAATTTTCTGGGGGAGGACTCCCTACTTTGACGCTCGTGAGTGGGCTTCGTCGTGATTCGCAAGTCCGTTCGTTTGACACTTTACCTCATCGATCAGTGCCTGAAATACTGCCAGGTTGCATTTCCGGCAACTTGTTTTTTAAAATTATCTGGGGGAGGCCCCCTACCCCTAGTCGAAGCTCGTGCCTTTGCCCCCTTAACCTTGCCCCAGCTTTGCCCCTCCAATCACCGACAGCTGGCGCCGCCACTGTGAGTATATAAACAAACAGAGCCTTAAAAACTGTTTTCTTCTTCAGTATTAACGCGCTTTATAAATGACGATATTATTATTATTATTATTATTATTACCTTAACTTGATCTGTCAAACAATATTGTTCGTCGTTCGACTCACTGTACAATATGTCCACCCCCTTCACAAACCACACGTCAGGCCTATTTTTACCTGGAAAATCCAGGCTAATATATATATATATAGACAGGTACGGGCAAACCCGATTTCTTATGCAATAGTGGACATTTATTTAAGTTACTATAAATAACTCTGAATTTCAAGTGCTGACAAAGTTAAAACCTTATTTACCACACCATCTTAGAATTTTATTTTTCAACTTCAAAAACGTGCGGCTAGGAGCATTTTGGATGAAAAACCTGATTCACATTCGTCACCTTTGTTTGAGTCTCTAAATTGGCTTACAATCCACCAACGCATTCAATACAACCAAGGAATGCTCACCTTCAAAATTCTAAGAGACAAATTACCATCATATTTATATAACACATTTTATGAAAATTCTAAATTGACCGAAACTACCATGACATTGAGATCGGAAAGTCACTTAGTCAACTTGAATTAACAATTCCAAAAAGTAAGAAAATAGACAATGACATGTCTGTGAAACATGCGTCTTCAAGTTTTATCTTCAAAAAGGAGTTAGTAAAACATGTTACATCTTTGAACCCTTGTTTTATATATATATAATTACTTTTTTTTCTTGTTTGTAAGCTTATATATTATGATATATATGCACTTTGTAAATATTATTACTGTGTAGTTGCTAGTTTTATAGAGTAGGAAGGACATGTTGAAAATTAGAAATCATGTACTAAATATGTTCCCTCAGAAAATAAAGTCATTATTATTATTATTATTATTATTATTTAGTAACTGGATAGAGCAATCAAATATAACACATGCTTATAGAAAACAGCTGCTACTATATATTTAGTGACTGAATACAGCAATATAACACGCATACCCTACTGTTCTGTTAGTCCCGAAATGACCTAGTTTGTGTCGAGTGGACGTTAAACCCCATTTCTCTCTCTCTACTGTTCTGCCCCGACTGGGCTAATGAAGACGGGCATACGCCATACAGTGTGCTATGAGGGAAATTTTCCCCGTATAGCAGCACTATGGTCTACTCTTATACCGGATTCCAACTGCCAAGGGATCTTTTACGTGCATGCCAATGTATACAAGGGACCTCGGGTTTTCGTCCCATCCGAACAACTAGACAGCTCTCCTTGTCAGGCCCTCCGTTCTGCACCACTGACAAGGGGAAACCACGTCGAAAACATACTTATGGAAAAACAGCTACTAATATTATACCGAATTCCAACTGCCAAGGGATCTTTTACGTGCATGCCAATGTATACAAGGGACCTCGGTTTTTCGTACCATCCGAACGACTCGACAGCTCTCCTTGTCAGACCCTCCGTTCTGCACCACTGACAAGGGGAAACCACGTCGGAAAACATACTTATGGAAAAACAGCTACTAATTTATTTGGTTGAAGCTGGGATACTGTGACATCACCATATTGATAACGATATTAATCTTTGATGCTTCTTACATTACTAGCTGTTGTTCCATACAGTATGTGTAATAGTTTAATACAATACATATATTAAACTAGATTTAAAGAAGATTTCTTTATTCCTATCGTGTTTAAATAATAATGATATCATTACCTTGAATAACTGTACTTTGAATTACTTATACCGGCTTCTACAGATGATATTAGAAGATGAACGAATTAATTTTACTCTGTGATAGTAGTCTGCGTTCTACAAGACTCGATTACACAGTCTCTAGACGTGCAATGATTAAATTCATGTATGGATATGCAAATAAATGACTTAATAACAAGAGCTATTAAACTGGTTTTCCCCTTACCATAAATAGATATTTAGTCATATATCACATGTTTTAAGCGATGTAAGCGGAGTTTGATATAACTTATCCAAAAGGTAACTAGTGTGTGAAATTTACATGTTCAAATTGGTTAGTTTAATAAATAGGCTAGTAATATAGCCTATACAATTACAGACCTTATGTTCATATAACAATACATACCAGTACAAAATTACATACCTATATGTTCATATAACAATATAAACAATAAACACTACCTTGTAAGAGTATATAGTCAAATAGTTACTCGTTTCCAAGAATTACACAAGTATAGTTTCTGAGAAGCCAGTATTCCTCGATATCTGCTGTTTAAAGTTATAACAGTTATATCATACATATGACCTATATCACTTCGTTCACAGTCATTATTTACATTATAAAAGAGATATTTTCAGTATACGCAGCTATTGTCAAGTTTTTGTGCATTACACATGCGTATGTACAAATAAAATGAAATGGGGCTCAACGTCCTACAGTTCTGCTCCGTTTGTGCTAACGGGCAAACGCCATGCAGCTTGCTATGAGGGACATTTTGCCAAGACAGCGGCTGTATGGCTTACTCTTATCTCGAATTCAAACTGTCAATGTTTCTTTTACGTGCATGCCTATGTGTACAAGGGATCTCGGTCTTTCGTCCCATCCAAACGACTATACGTTGTTGCGTGCAAGGTCATCCGCCCATCAAGACAGACAAAGCAGAATCACGCCGGAAAATCTCGATGAACTTTCTCGGCCAAAGCAGGGATCGAACACGGGACCTCTAGGTTAGCGAGGCAACATCCTAAGCACTGAGCCACCATGGCTCTGAATCAGCCTTACGGGTTGGCGTATAGTATTGACAAGTCTCTAAATTACTTAAGAATGAATGAAGTTTAACGTTCCACTTGTCTGCACTGACTTATAATCATCAATAAAATATTGATCTAGTTGTAGATTTACTCTTTGGCCTGTACCTTAATTACAGCCTCTCTTGCTACAGTAAGTGTCAATTGTTATCTTAAAGATACATTATGGGAGATGAGATAAAGAGATGGCAGTTCTCGCTATAATAGTTAAAAACTAGATAGTGTAAAGGTAATTTGCTGAAAATTTCAGTCAAATTGATCCACTATGAGCCGAGAAAGAAGCTGGTGAAATTTTTGCATAGTCTCGGTCATCATTACTAAAATCATTAATAAAAACAGCATAGTCTCGATTATCCACTTTTCTGATTTAATTATCAACGGCCGTTAGCTGTATATAGGAATCTAATCCAGCCAACATCGAAGGCTAGCCTTGACATCGAGAGTTTATTATTGTCTGGATAAGTTAATTAATGTCTAATTGATAATTTAGATAACATTTCAGGCCTAAAGAAAGACTTGTAATAAACAGATTTTGCTCTTGCATAACGCATTTTTAATTGCAGCCTCTAATTACTTTCCATGGACACAAATTAGAAGAGGGTAATTTTTGATGATATCTTTTATTCATTGACATTCTTAACAAACATTCCTGGTCATTTTGACATTCTCAATGAACCATGTTGGTCATTCTGACGTTCTCAACAAACTACCCTGGTCATTTTGGGACTAACATACGGTAATTTTAATTTTCTATGTTTACATTAGTCCAGTTGGTACAGAAAAGTTGAACGATAAACCCCATTTTATTTTGGTTTTAGTTTGTCAAGAATATCGCTATCTATGAAATTCTGTATCGCTTAATTCACATTAATAAAAAAAAAAAAAGGTTGGAAAAAACTACCATGAAATTAGTCAGGTAGGTATAATGAAATAAAAATAGAAACTTTATCGCGATCAACATGAACAGATTATCCCGGTGTCGTTTAGCCAGTTTTGAACACTCGTTTAGTGTTGGAATAAGCTACAACCCCCAGAATACAGCACTACAGCAATAGTCATGAATTACGAGGTAAACTATATGCTAGATAAATCTATAGTGTATTGTTTGAATATATAATTCATGTAATAGAGTGATGTTTAGATGTCCGTCTACACGACTGTATATACATGTGTGTTTTATAATACAAGTATCGTATGATACAAGTCAGGTCACCACGCCCCGTGGATCACGATTGGACAAATAATCAAATAATGGCAGACGTTCGGTGTAACCAAGAATACAAATAATGATTACCCTTAGATTTATGTATTTGATTTCATATATTCTATATAAAAGATTCACCCAGCTATAGCCTATATGGTATATTAGAATAAAAACCTATCATTGCAGATAAGATTATAGTACAATATGCCTGTCGTATCACAATGGATATATCGTATTTCAATAGATTTTATAATTACTGTATTCAACAATATTTGGCTTGGTGATTCTTTTTTTCTTTTAAAATATAAAACATTGTTATCGCCTACTCCACATAGATTTTGTTTTGCTTCTGTTATTTTGTCCCCTTTATCAGATATTTTGATGTCTAGATGTCTTATGAAGAAAGAAAAGTTACAATTGTCCCAGATATTGCTATGTTATTATCCGAGTTAGTTGTTAGATATACCCTTGTAATAATAGTGTATTAACACATCGATGACGTGAAGTATGTATTATTAGAAGTCAATATATATCATATCTACATTACAACTTTTACAAAACTAACATAAAATATTTAAATTAAATAAAATTTAAATTACATGTCACTTACTTTATTGACACAGGCTTCAATATGATAATAATCCTCTCTATAGAGTCTTTTATTTCAACAATTTAATGGCGACGTTACAGTTTAATTTACTTCCTAGTTGTATCAGGGGTTGGTATAATAAAATGATTGGTTGCTATATATTAGTATTTATCTGAAAAAGGGGTGGAGCTTATCATTGACCTACAGAATTTGAATAATATATCAATAGGGAGATGCTAATTGTCGGCCGGTTGTAGTAGGTGGAAATTAAGAAGAATACCACTCCTTGAACCCGACCCTTGACCCTGGCTGACAGCTGTCAATCTGTTATCATGACTACGTAAACCGAATATGGGAGGGGCGATATCTCCTCTACCTTTGAGTGATTCTCTATAGGTCTACTCGATTGAACGTTCCAGAATTGAATTCTCGCAATCCCCAAAATAAGTGACACTCGAGTGAAAAGGGGTATTTCGGGTTATAACGCATTCGTCAGCCGAATAAGAAAATATCTCAACCAACCATGCAGGCCAAACATATTTGTTGTGTTTAAACACGTCACTATTCTATTCACATCACCTCCGTGGTGAGGACTGACCGAACTGTGACAGGACCATGGGCGTCACACATGAGGGGGTCGGGTCTGAATATAATTGGACCCCCCCCCCCCACAAAAAAAATAACAAAAATTACATAGTAGGCCCTAACTCCTATGTAATTACAACAATTATTAGGATTTGTTAAGATTATATCTGTATAAAACCTGTTCATATCCCAATATGTTGGTGTGATGTTTTAGTTTAACCCCGTAAAATATGCCAAAACAGTGTTTACAGGTGACCCTCCCACATCTCCCTATCGCACTACATCTTTCATTTCTGTCCGTTCTGGACTGCGAATCGAGCACCCCCTAAGTAGCCTACAAGGTAGTACATTACTAATATATATTTTATAGTATCATAGACTAGATTATATTAGACATTGTTGATACAACATTATTTAACAAATCATAGAGATGAATACAATACATGTACGTTAAGCAGGGGCGGATCCAGGGGGGGTTCTGACGCTTCCGGAACCCCCTCAAGATTTTTCGGTGCCCTTTTTTCCCGAACGGACTTCCATACACCGGCAGATATTTGGGCCGGCAAGTGGCGACGCCGCGCGGTGAATGAAGACGTCAACGTCATACAATATGGCGACCCCCTTGCCAGACGGCAAGATGAAAATTTTTCGGTAGTTTTTGTTCCTATTTGCATCTAAAATGCCGCGACACGATCATATCAAAAGGAAAAGGGAGGAAGATAAAATTGCTGCAGCCGCTCAGTGTACCAAAATCTTTCGGTAAGTGTAAAATTTTACTGCATTTGTTGATTTTTAAGGTGAAGAGAGTAGTCTGTGCAGCAGTCGCTAGATATTTACTATCATCAATGTACAATTAAAAGAGGATTTACACACTTCAAGCTTAGTGATTTGGAGGGCACATTAAGGCCTAAAATAGGGCACTGTTACGTGAAAATCATGGGTCTAAGGGGCACATTTTTTGCCGAATCGATATAAAATAGGGGCATCTTTACATCAAAGGGGCACTTTTTGTACCTAAATGATTAAAAAGGGCATTTTAATGTGATACCCTTGAATGAGGAGGGCACATTCAACGCCAAGTCGATATACAGAGGGCATTTTAACGTCAAAACCATGGATTGCAGGGGCAATTTTTACGTCAAAAGGATTCAAAGGGCATTTTCACGTCAAACTCTTGGATTTGGAGGGCACACTTTATGGCGAATTTATTTAAAGAGGGCCTTTTTATGTCGATCCCATCGATTTGAGGTCAGATAATAGGTCTCAATGTTTTGTTTTCAGTCCAATAATTCTTTTTACGTCAAAAGGATTCAAAGAGCATTTTCACGTCAAACTCTTGGATTTGGAGGGCACACTTTATGGCGAATTTATTTAAAGAGGGCCTTTTTATGTCGATCCCATTGATTTGAGGTCAGATAATAGGTCTTAATGTTTTGTTTTCAGTCCAATAATTCATGGTTCAGTATTTTGCATTTTAAGTAAAATAAAAATTGAAAAATTCCATTAATTTATTTTGTTTAAACTTACAATATTTCTTTCTCATGGTATGTGGAATGTTGTTGCAATGCTGTATTATAAATCTAGTTTTATGCCTCTAAAACCCACCAGAGTGGCTTAGAATGGTCTGATATTTAAAAAAATTTCCCCAGACCCCCCGCTAGCGCGCGCCTACGACGCCCGCCAGTCATGGTTACTGTATTAGACAAAAATGGGGTGCCCTTATTTGAAAATGGGGTGCCCTTATTTTTTGGGAACCCCCTCCAGCTAGAGCCCTGGATCCGCCCCTGTTAAGGTATGTCTTTGAAAACTAAACAAGGTTAAGTATATACATACCAACTTTGTTTGATTCTAATATATCATATACAATGTTATAAAACCCCAGTTATTACCTTGTCTTGATCTGTTAAACGATTGTTCAGCTATTGCTCGATCTACTGCTTACAATATAATGTCTAACCCTTTAACAAACGACACATCAGGTCTATTTTTACCTGGAAAATCCAGGCTTTTAGACACGTACGGGCAAACCCGATTTCTATATTTAAAGATGCATTATGTTGGAGTTAAATGTGTTTATTACAGGTCTTTATATAAATTATTATTTATTACAGGTCTTTATATACTATTCAAAAAAAGTAGGGGATATTTGATTTTGGGGGCATAATACTAAAATATGCAAATGACTACGAAAAAAGTCACTATAGAACCTAACAGAAGAAACATTTCCAGTTACATGTGACGCCCAAACGCACCAATAGCTACCGCATTGAATGCAGGTGATGCTTGGGATCATCATGGGGGTCCAACCCAAGATTTGCACGACTCTGACTTTGAATGTTACAGTCATTGTGGCATTGAATTCCAGGGTGGAAACATCAGTTTAATTGTTTTAGTGACCAGAAAACAAATTTTGATATGCGTCGGCTTACCCAAAATGAAAGGTTACGTGCCCTTGGCATGCTACAGATCGGCACAACACAGGCGGTTGTGGCGCGGACGATGAATGTTTCTCAGTCTGTCATAAGCAGGCTATGGTCCAGATACCGTGATACACAATCTGTACAGGACAGACCACGCTCAGGTCGACCAAGGGCGACAACTCAAGCCCAGGATCGATTTATCCGTACCTTGGCCTTGAGAAATCTTGTCATCACAGCAAATCAGATCAGCGCTCGTCTTCAAACAGACACTGGTGTGAGAGTGAGTGGCCAGACGATTCGGAATCGACTGCATAGGGGTCACCTTCGCGCCCGACGTCCTCGCGTGATCCCTTGTTTGAGAGATCATCACATTCAGGCAAGACGTCGTTGGTGTAGGGATCGTCAACACTGGGATAATCGACGCTAGAGCAATGTGATGTTTTCAGATGAGTCAAGGTTCACTGTTGATTTTTTGGACAGACGTAGGAGGGTGTGGCGTCGTCGAAACGAGCGCTTCCAAGACGTTAACGTCATCAGACATGATCGATTTGGGGGTGGTTCTGTTATGGTGTGGGGAGGCATCACTGTTGCTGGAAGAACGGCTTTACATGTTGTTGCAGGGCGTGTTACAGGCCAGTACTACCGGGACAACATCTTGGCAGTCCATGTTGTGCCGTTCGCACGACGTCATGGCCGCCGTTTCATCTTCCAGGATGACAACGCAAGATGTCACAGGGCCAGGATCGTTACAGGTTACCTCCAACAACAGAACATCACCACATTACCTTGGCCAGCACTGAGTCCCGACCTCTCCCCCATCGAGCATGTCTGGGACATGCTTGGACAGAGGTTACGTCAACGTCAACAACGTCCTGCCAATGTCCAAGAACTTGCTGCTGCGTTGCAACAGGAATGGGACAATCTGGACCAAAATGACCTTAGACGTCTCATTAGGAGTATGCCACGTCGGATCAATGCTTGTTTGGCAAACAGAGGAGGATTTACCCGTTACTGACTTGGTTGTGATGCTGTGGTAACTTTGCTGTTTGACCCCGGGTATCATTTTACCCTTATAATGGTCAGTCTGTGCCTTACTTAGTCTAACGATCATTTGGAATAAATCGATGAATGTGAACTTCATTTCATTTTGTCATTTGTTTCTTCGTCAGTTTCATTAGGTGACTTTAATAACACTTAAAAATCAAATATCCCCTACTTTTTTTGAATAGTATATTAGCTTCAAAAGTTATAAAAATTATTATTTAGACATGTATTCACATGGCAAGCCTATGATCAACCCACTCTAGAACATCGGATGGCGGAGATTTAAACGGATTGAAACTCGGTCTCCATTTTATTCTGTCTTTGTATCTTTAAATAATGAATACTAATGGGAGAAATTGGTCAGGAAGACAAGATTTCTTTGAATTCCTAGTGCCGAGGAATATACAAAGATTTATATATGGCCTCAAATATTGAACAAGAAGGATTTAGTCTGTCCAGTTTAAATGTTGTACACATGAATCGAATGACAACAATTGGTGCCAACGTCAAACTCACCCATAACCAAACCGCTCCCTCACCCACCTCAATTACAAAAAACAACGAAAAGAAAATCAAAAACAAAAAAACTCTGATAATTCGCCCCACACCGTTTTACAAAAGCTTCGTGGGGTAATATCAACATGAAATATATGTTTATTTCATAAAATTAATTGAAAGAAGATATATTTATTGATATCTATGACAATAAAAGCTCCAATTGTACAACCATATTAATACAATAATATTATTTTTAGAGGTATTAAGTAACTGGATAGAGCAATCAAATATAACACATACTTATTGAAAAACAGCTACTACTATATTTAGGGACTGAATACAGCAATATAACACTCATACCCTACTGTTCTGCCCCGACTGCGCTAATGAAGACGGGCATACGCCATACAGTGTGCTATGAGGGAAATTTTGCCCGTATAGCGGCACTATGGTCTACTCTTATACCGAATTCCAACTGCCAAGGGATCTTTTACGTGCATGCCAATGTATACAAGGGACCTCGGTTTTTCGTACCATCCGAACGACTCGACAGCTCTCCTTGTCAGACCCTCCGTTCTGCACCACTGACAAGGGGAAACCACGTCGGAAAACATACTTATGGAAAAACAGCTACTAATTTATTTGGTTGAAGCTGGGATACTGTCACATCACCATATTGATAACGATAATAATCTTTAATGCTTCTTATATTACTAGCTGTTGTTCCATACAGGATGTGTTATAGTTTAATATATATTAAACTAGATTTAAAGAAGATTACTTTATTCCTATCGTGTTTAAATAATAATGATATCATTACCTTGTATAACTGTACTTTGAATTAATTAATTTTACTCTGTGATAGTAGACTGCTTTCTACAAGACTCGATTACACAGTCTCTAGGCGTGCAATGTTTAAATTCATGTATGGATATGCAAATAAATGACTTAATAACAAGAGCTATTAAACTGGTTTTCCCCTTACCATAAATAGATATTTAGTCATATGTCACATGTTTTAAGTGATGTAAGCGGAGTTTGATATAGCTTATCCAAAAGTTAACTAGTGTGTGAAATTTACCTGTTCAAATTGGTTAGTTTAATAACTATACTAGTAATATAGCCTATACAATTACATACCTATATGTTCATATTACAATATATACCAGTACATTATTACATACCTTTATGTTCATATAACAATATAAACAATAAACACTACCTTGTAACATTGAGATAGTCAAATAGTTACTCGTTTCCAAGAATTACACAAGTATAGTTTCCGAGAACCCAGTATTCCCCGATATCTGCTGTTTAAAGTTATAACAGTTATATCATACATTTGACCTATATCACTTCGTTCACAGTTTTTATTTACCAGTGCCGGATTGGGCCCACCTAAGCGCATTAAAAAAAAGTGGGCTTAAGCCTATAAAGAAAAAAGAGAAAGAAAAAAGAAAAAAAAGAAAAGAGAAAGAAAGGAGAGGGGGGGGAGAAAAGAAAGAAGGAAGGAGAGGACAGGGCACAGGACAGGAGAAAGAAATGATTGGAAGAAAAATGAACACAAAAAAAGAAGTGTACTACAAGAAGAGAATTAATATAGTAACTAGAATTGCGCGCAATACTGAAGGCTTTCACTGTCGCCAAGGTGTCACACGATCGCCAGATATATGACAAAAGACTATCCCCACCACTCCCCCCACCTCCCCAAAAAACCCACACTCTAGCATAACTCAGATATTGACCCCTAAACATGCTCCAACTCGTTAAAATACGCTGTTTTCAATTTTCGATCTCTTTTTTAGGCTACCCATGACAATTAGAAACATTGTACAAGGGTTTCACACAATACACTACCCAGTAGAGGTAACAATTTTTATCTGATTTTGTTGAAACTTGAAATGTAAGTTTATAACCCAAAGATCTCGGTTCCTTTCGGTATTCGTGCATATTGGACCGTAACTTCCTGAATTATGCCCCCTGATTGTACGAAAAATCGCATTTTTAGCTTGTGGACCCTATAATAGAGGTCATAATTTTTATACGATTTAAAAAAACGTATGATTATATCACCGTTACACCCTAAGGACGGATGTGTTTGAATTTCGTGAAAATCGGCCAAAAATTGACAGATAAAATGGCCGCCGTTTGTTCTCAAATTTATAGCGTAAATATATGGTATATCAAGGTTGTGTACCCTATATAGGTCACAATTTTTATCCAATTTTGTTGAAACTTGAAATGTGAGTTTATAACCCAAAGATCTCGGTTCCTTTTGATATTCGCGCATATCGGACCGTAACTTCCTGAATTATGTCCCCTGATTATGTCCCCTGTACAAATACTCAGTAGAGCCGAGAAAATACTGACTAATTATAAATATGATTTTTTCCAAAATCCAAGCATTCTACTACAAACTAAAAATATGAAAATACTAGACACACTCTTTTTAAAACGACAAGACATTTAAATCTACATGCAAGCCATTAATTAGTATATTTGTTAATTTATTGATTTGATCAATTTTTAGATCAGAATTTTATTAAAATTTTAGTACCTTTGATTGTGTATGGTCTTGAACTCTTCATTTAACTTTCTTATTCTGGCATGTTGAGGCTTTAAAATTATCCTTAATATTTATGGTTTTGTGTTTTTCAGAAACTATAGCAGTTGAAGATCCACATACGTGTGGAAGAGGGTTTAAGTGTTCAGATTATTTAGAAGGTACAGATTGTAATGAATTCTGGCAAGGGCCAAATTTTGGCATTACAAACTTTGATAATTTTGGCCTTAAAACTTTGATAATTTTGGCCTAGCTATGTTGACAGTGTTTCAATGTATCACAATGGAAGGATGGACTGATGTCTTATATGATGTAAGTATGTCTACACCTCTACATGTGTGCTAAGAGTAAATACATCTACATGTACATGTGTACATGTGTGCTAAGAGTAAATACATCTACATGTGTACATGTGTGCTAAGAGTAAATACATCTACATGTACATGTGTACATGTGTGCTAAGAGTAAATACATCTACATGTGTACATGTGTGCTAAGAGTAAGTGTGTCTACACCTCTACATGTGTGCTAAGAGTAAATACGTCTACATGTACATGTACTAAGCACTAGTGTTGGGTAATGCGATTCCTGTCACATCAATTTTGTTATATAGACTTTGTCACGAGTCTATAAAATCAGGTGCCTTGACACTTGAGTTGTGATTTATGTCACACTATCACAATACATGTAGTCTAGAACAGATTTACATATCCTACAAACAATTTTTATTGCGTCACTTTTTAAAAACTGCTTCACTTTTTTTTTTACATGTTGTTCAGTAACTATTTAAAATTTTCGAAAGCCAGATCACAGAGTGGCAGTTAGTTATTAATTGGATGGCACCCTCTGTGATGCAGGCTAGGTTATTTCGAGACTAACATATGATTCAATTTTATTTCAATAATTCGCTTGCGTGTGGGGGACTTTAGCAGGGGGAGTAACCAGAGAAAACCCACAAGGCTAAACAGGCGACCCTTATCCTTGTCACGTACAAGCTGGCAATCGAAACTACGCTACTTGACTCAATGACGGACCTTATGATTTATGGGACACGTGTTAGATCGTTATGCCACCAAACCCCCAGTAACGGTTGAGAAGAACGTAATCTAACACATTCCCTGCTGCATTCCCCATGTGGCCTTTAATATATGCAAATTTATATTAAAAAACCAAATTCACTGAATCTCCCTAGACCACTCTCAAAATTGTCCATTAAATAATGTAATGTTAATTGTTTTATTTTCAGATAAATGATGCAGTTAGTAATGAATGGCCATGGATTTATTTTATCAGTCTTATTATTATTTGTTCTTTTTTTGTACTTAATCTTGTTCTTAGTGTGTTGAGTGGGTACATACAATTATTAATGACATCAATCACCTTCTTAACTTTATTTCATAGAGCTTGAGACATGATGGCTCAGTAATAGGACGTTGGCTAGCTAACCTTGAGGGATTTTAAGGTAGTGGCAAGGGTCAAACGTATAGTTGTTCAGATGGGACGCAAAACTGAGGTCCTGTATGTTTAAACAATCGCAGTATTGGCTCTTAGCAGACTGAAGGAAAATTGACTCGCAGAACTTGGATATACATGTACATGTATTAAAGCTATCTTCAAATAAAAAGTCTTGGCATTAATTTTTATGTCTGTCCGTATGTAAATATAAATATAATCCATTCTTATTGTTGTCACTGTTTTTTTATAGAGAATTTTGCAAAGAGAGAGAAAAAGCCAAAGCTACAGGAGACTTCCAAAAATTACAGCTAAAACAACAGTTGGAGGAGGAATTACGTGGTTAGATTGCATCACACAAGCTGGTAAGGTTAATTTATTTAAATATTTGGAAAAGTGATCAAAAGTAGACTGCAAGCTCATTGACCATGACCAGTCCTAACAGTTTGTTACTTCTGTCCATTTGAATTACAGCCATATATATATATGTATCACAGTTCAGGCCTCGAAATGTTTAAAAAAAGCTACCTGTCGCAAGCGACAGGTAGTTTTTTTTCATACCTGTCGCTTCAGTAAATAACCTGTCACTCTTAATTATCAAACTCAAAGAATAATCACATCACACATATCCATACATGTAGGTACACACATATGTGGTTAGGTCTTTGACGTACATTGCTCTATATAAATATCGTAATATGAAACCTTTTTATTTCTTCGACATTGGAATGCCTAAAAGTTCTTGAAAGTCGGCTAATCTGCTTCTCGGCGATTCGAAGATTCATACAATTCTATCATCCGTATCCACGTGAATTCCGCAAAGTATCATGGTACCACACTTCCGTACTAAATCGAATACTTCACTGTTGAGTTGTAGAATTCAGATTTTAAAATATCCGTAATAAATTGAATATCAAAACACAAATCACACCTGTGCATGGCACCGTATTTACATGTACCGCGTGCGAAGGACAGATAACGCCACCTGGAATTCCCTTCTCACATATCCGGACTATTTTTACACTACAAATTTATTTATATATGAAATATTTTTCCGACCTGATTTTTTGATTTTGTCAAATTGTCTTATAAATTATTCATAGCCTTTATTTATGGAAATTGTTTAAAACTTTTTAAATGATTAAATACAGCAAGCAACGAGCCGTGTGCATTTCCATTCCAACCACTACTATATTTACTGTGGTGTCGTTACGGTAGAATTATTTCAGGTGACTTGGGGGTGCGTTTTAATTTATTTAGATATAATACTCCATAATGCTATAAACTAGTGTCAAGCAGATCAAAACAAGCTTAGATGGTGTGAAATTCATTGATATAAAATTGTCTACTTCCAAACTGTGTGAGTAACTGTCGCCTACGACAGAGCGAAATGTAATTGTAAACAGTGCAAATGGCGGCTTTTCGCGTGCTTAATTCTTGCATTTAGAAATGAATAATTAAATGTACGTGACGTGGACGTGAGTATTGTGGTCAATTTACTGAACATCAAGTAAAATCATTTAGAAACGAATAATTAAATGTACGTGACGTGGACGTGAGTATTGTGGTCAATTTACTGAACATCAAGTAAAATTTAGTCCACCTGTCGCAAGCGACATGTAGTTTTATTTGCTACCTGTCAGACGAAAAAATCGCCTGTCGGCGACAAGTAGACAGGCGAACATTTCGAGCCATGCAGTTTATATCTGCTGTTTTAGATATGTTTTAGAATGAATTAATTTACAGCTAAAGTCAGTGGGCAATGTTGTTTTTTAAGCTAAAGATGAGTACCCAATGCTTGTATTGACCATGCAGTCGTTGTTGATAATTTCTGGTCTAAAATCTTTGAACTTGGTCAGAATTACATTAGCCTCTTGCATCAGTTTGCTTTATATAATTTTGGGACAAAATGTGATTTTTCAGGTAAATGATTTTTGGCCCTTTCATCTAAGTTGAGAAATGTACTACTGATTTGTAATTTTAAGAAAGTTTATTTTAACTGATTTTTTTTTAAAATTCTAGATGATATTGATCCTGAATGTGATGCAGAAGATGAAGAAATAGCAATACCTAAGCATAGTAAGTTTATTTTTCTTCACCCATTTATATACAGAGTCCACACCTTTATATACCGAGTCAGCACTTTTATAAGGCGATGATTGTTAATCTTGCTTGTGAGATACACTTTAATCTTGCAATTCTGAATGTAACAACATCATTGTTCATTTTCTTGCATCAGTAAATGTCTGGTCTACAATCATGCTAAAAATCACATTTCAGTTACATTAATGCCTCGCCAGCACTTCCAGTTGAATCAGTGGTGTGCTTTCATTGCATCTGAGTATGTAACTAGACTTTACATAGCCAGGCTACAAGTCCAATATGCCAACCCTTTCAGAGAGCTATTAGCATTTTTGTGATCTTTGAGGGTTGTTAAAAAAAGAATTTTTGATGTTACCTGATTTGACCATGTTCAGTTTAAATTTAGTATATATGTTTAAATTATGATGAAACTTCTGATTTCACTCTGTCTCACACAAGTGTAACCCCTTGAGTTACCTGGGTAGGTCAATGTGCATCTTAGACAATGGTAGCGCAGGGCTAGAAATTCGTCATTTTTTACAAGAATCTAAGAGGATTCTCATATATGGAATCTGCGCGAATCCTCCGAATCTTAATTAATAATACTGTCTAAAAAAAACAAAATTGTGTTTATTGTGATAATCTAAATCACCAATATACAACAACAATGTTAAAAACCCCAATCAGATGGAGTTTTTGGTAAACGCTTAAATTGTGTCAGAAGTAATATTCAGAAAATGCCATAGTCAAAATAAGCTGATACAGCACCATGGCATTTCTTCATAGCACAATTTGTAGTCTTTTGTCTATCACGCAACTAGTCACATAACTTGCAAAAGTTTTTATTCATTCGTCGATGATAGACAAACTGCACAATGATCACGTGACAAAATAAACTTCGGTACGACTATGATATAGCCTTCAATAATATTTTTAAAATTAAGTCTCTGTCAGCATGTATATAAAATAAAAAATCATAACGGTAAACGCTATTTAGAACTGGTTTATTGACCTAATTCCAACCAATATGTCACGTGTCATTGGAATTCGACATTCAAGATTTTGTTGGGAAAATATCCACTGTTTTTCTCCCCGTGTATTCGGTGTTCTATCAGGGGATTATATTCAATGCAAATTTAAATTTAACTACAGTAACAACTGTTCGGTGAATCCATCAATGTATGATCCAGTTATTATTTTAATACCGGGAATTCTCACGGACGAAGCGTGGAAGATGCGCGATTCGCAAACCATGCCGAGATCGTCTTCATTTCATTCACCACGTGCGTATTTTACTGAACCTAGTATGAATTATCAGCAAGCTTGTTTTGTTTTTTTACCGGATTATCAAAATCACCGTTAAATGTGCTAATTACTCGGATTATGAACCACATATGGCCGATTCGCACTAAGGTATGACTGTTGATTTATGATACCATGTGGCCGATTCATTGTTTTACCAATCGGCTAGATTAAACATCAATCGGCTAAATCCCACAATTAACCCTGACTGACATTCAACAGTTGGACTCGAGAATTCTCCGAGATTTTTTTTTTTTTTTTTTAAGAAAATATTTACGAGAATCCTTCTAGATTCGCAGCGTAAGCTCTTGCGAGAATCCTTGCGCGAATCAGATTCGGAGATTCGTGTGAATTTCTAGCCCTGTAGCGTAAGGTGTGTGCCAGTAGCTTGGTGCCACAGGTGTTGAAAATGTTAAATATTTTGCCCAATAGTCTGACCGCCTAGATACAAATAGTAACGCCATTTAAATATTTCTATTCTACGACGAGTAATGCAGTGTTTTGCCATGTGACGCTTTAGTGTGCCTAACCTTTTGTGGCAACTGACAGCCAAAAAAAACACTTGCGGCATGACGTCAGGCCCCAAGTTCACAAAGCATTCTCAGACTTAAGTTAAACAGTTACTGAAAGTTCAATCACTGTTTATGAGAAATATCTTTGATCCAGAAACACAAAACTTTTCACATAGTTTCTTATTGATGTATTTGAAATATTAAAATAACAAAAGTTTTATAAGGGGCTATATATATGTTAGTTAAAATTAGGCGAACAATTTTGAGTAAATTCTTAACTTAAGTCTGAGAATGTTTTGTGAATTCGGGGCCAGGTTGATTCTATGGTTGCGTCATCCGACATACATTTTGCATTGGTGTTGGGCTGCGTCACTGTGGCATCACCACACAGGGTCACCGTTCTCCCTATCTATGCCAGAGTAAAGCACGCCTGTGTGAGACAGGCTTTAGAATATATTTGTTAACCTTAATTGCCTTTAAAAGAACAGACACACCCTCTTCCCACCACTTATCTGTTCTTGGTATTTTAAAAAAAATATCTGGATCTATTTATAGTTTGTTTTATTTTCTGCTTTTTTTTCTTTTTCTGAACTTATTTTCCATTAATTTGATTAATTTTTTTTTCTTTTCTTTTACTAAGTTTAGACTTTTTCCGCCTGTAAATCTATGTTAAGTAAATCAATAGTGTTAAAAGATATTTTGGGTTTTCGTCAGGGAGATATCGGCCTCACTGTTGGCTTGTTTTCTCTTTGTTTTACTAAGATTAGCCTTTTACCCTCTGTATTTCTATGTTAAGTAAATCAATAACTTTTCAAAAGTGGCTGTGTATCAGTTGAAAAGCGGCCGTGTATCAGTTGAAAAGGGACATAAATAACAAAATCATGATTTACATATTTATTTGAACATCTACAACCCATTTTGAACATGTTATGGTAAAAGAGTCATCATTTTCAACTGTCTCTGTAACTTTCCGAATGTGCGTCACTCTCAGTCATATTCTTACATTTTGTCTCACATTTCTTTACATTTTGATATCTAGTCGCACTTTCAAATTTTGTCGCACTTTCACATTTTGTCGCAGCTTATGCTCATCCGCAGCACATAATCCAAATATTTTACTATTATAAATTAATCTCTTGGCATTTTCAACACTAAAAACTTTCACATTTTGTCGCGGTTTATGCTCATCCGCAGCACATAATCCAAATATATTACTAGTATAAATTAATCCATTGGCATTTTCTACACTATAAACTTGAGAACTCTACAATTCCAACTCGTCTTCATTTAATGGCTGTTCTTGTTTTTGTCTGTCAGTGGATGTCAATACCTCGCGAAGTTAATGAATTGACCTGTGCGGAAATTAGCAAATGTACCTTGCTTATCAAAAAAGTTAAAATCCAATCTTTTGTACTGATCTTGAAGTGTCACCATATTCCTATGCAATTGGTATTTTTCCTTGTGTTTGGCAGAATTCGACTCATCTGCATGGCTTTAATTTCTTGTTCTGTGAAGGATCGGGCTTCTAAATCCTCGCGATCATTGAAATCTCTTGCAGAACTGATATTCTTGGTCTTAGAAATATATATCTGTGACATTATAAAGTAGGATTCTTCGACGAATTCCCGCATTCATTTCTGCCATCCACTACAATCGACGCAGCCAGGATGTTGGCAAAACAACAAGAAATGGCTATTGTACAAAATGATTGGATGACGTTTGCTTTTCTCAACCAATCAATATCCCTGTTATGAACATTTTCCTTGACCTAATTTAAACCATGAAATGCACGTGCAGTGTACTAACATCATTTACCTGAGTAGAAATAAGCTTTTGCGATGAGATAATTGGGGGGCTCTAAATGGGAAACTTTGATAAATTTGTGAAATGAAAAATGCTTTTGAAATTGGGAAAAATAGAAAAAATCTCTATTTCTCGAAAAAGTATTTAGTATAAGTCAGTTATATACCTTGTTTTCTCGGTGTATGGGTTGATACACCGTCTCTTTTTTGAGTGGAGATCTCCTTGGCTTCGCCTCGGAGCCCCACTCAAAAAAGGGACGATGTATCAACCCATGCACCTTGAAAACAAGGTGTATAACTATTACATATAATTCGTTAAATATTGTTTTTTTTCACAGGTGTAAATCTATGGAAGCTGAGTTATCAGATCAATCAAAAGAATTAAGCAGCACTGACTTATAATTAACTCCATCATGGTTTCAACAAAAAAAAGTAAGGAAGATTTGAGATATTTTAAGAAAAAAGATCATTAGATTTTAATTAAAAACTTTTAAAGTAGGGTATTCATCATACTCCTCGCAGTGTTCCGTTTGATTAGAGAGGGATTTCTTGGGCCATTACTTCAGGAATATGGGTATTCATGTGTTATTAAAAGATTTGTGGCAGTTTCCATTGGGTCTGCAAAAACAAAGTTATCTTTCAAACCAACCTCACACAACACAATTTATATGGAATACAATCACTTTATTATCACTGTAACTTGGATATCATTTAATCTTGTGTATCTAGCACTGATTTCTTTCACATTCGTTTAATATCAAATCTTTGTTTAAAAATTTGTAAAAATCATTTAAAATCACCCATAATCATCTAATTTGGTTGTTCATGTTCAATATGTGATCTTCGTTTGAAAATTTGGTTGTTCACCATAAGAATTTTAAAACAAACCTTGTAAACGTTTTGTTATACAAGAGTTTAAATAGTGTTAACTTGTTAATCAACATTTTCATTGTAATCTGGGTATCGTTTAACCTTGCATATTTAGCCCTAATTTTTTTCACATTCCTTCAATATCAGATCTTCGTTTAAAAATTTGTTAAGAACATATAAAATCATCTAATTTTTACTTGTGCCCAGTTTAAAGCTGACCGTTCAATTTTAAAAACAAGTTTTTAATTTATAAGTTTTTAATTTCCCGACCATGGTTCAACAAACGTCCCAATTAAGTATTATACATAAATCATAAATGAGTTTGTTTATATTGTGATTATTGTGTTATTATTGATGTCTTAAAATAGTAATTTTGTTCGTGTATAACTTGAACTTAGATTTTATTGACCAACTCAAATGGAATTTAATGCTATTTAAAGATACATTAGTTAAGTGTTTAATAAAGAGTTGGTCATTCTTGCTATAATAATTCAAAAATAGATGATAAAAAAAAGAAAATATTGAAAATTTCATTCAAATTACTTCATTCTTAGCCAAGTTATCACTGTTTGTAGTTTTGACAAGATGTGTGCATAGTGGTAACCAGGGCACTGGTATATTCAGGACTTATCCTCGCTTTCCCATTTTTAAATTAAATTTTTATGTGGTGAACTATTTTAATCTAGTTAAAATCTTGAGTATCCGATGCCATCGAGAGTTGATTATGGTCTTGTTTTGTTAATTAATGTCTAATTAATAGTTTATATAACATTTCATGTCTAAAAAAAGACCTGCAATAGACCGATTTAGCTCTTGTATAATGTATGTTTAATTAAAAGTATCCAATATCTTCTGTTTGTTTGGCATAATTAACGCAAAAGACAACTAGTATTTTATTTTTGGTCTGATACCTATTTAGTCTATTTAAATCATTTCAGTTTCTCAAAATGATATTAGATCTCAGAATTATTTTGTTGTGTTTCAGGTTTATATTAGAAAAATAGAACCGAAGATGTAGATGATTTAGTCGTAAAATATTGAAATCACAAGTTTTTTATTGGCTAGTTATTGTATTAGTATTTTTAAATACTTGTGTGTTAACATCAGAACATTATAGACAATTGAATGACTTGATAGTTTTCAAAGTAATTTTTCCTTTCATAGAGTATCTTTGATTGATGCTGCGTTTTAGAGATAAAGATATTTTCTAAAACGTTATTTGATGCGATATCATGAACATCAAAGTCATGTGACTACACGGTAGATGCGGTGGATCAGTGAGTAAGGTGTTGGCTCGTTAACCCAGAGTTCTCAGCTCACTATTCCGGAGATCCCTCTGTTGGCCGAGAAAGTACTGGAGCCACAGTGGCTAAGCGAGTATGATGCTGGCTCGCTAGTCTGGAGGTAGCAGGTTTGATCCCGGTGTTGACCAAGAAAGTTCATTGGGATTTTCTGGTGTGGTTTTCTCTTGTCATTGGTGCAGGATGGAGGGCCTGACAAGGACAGCTGTCTAGTCTTTCGAATGAGATTGAAATCTGAGGTCCTGTGTACACATTTGACAGTTTGAATTCGATGTAAGAGTTGGCCGTAGCGCGGCTGTCCGAGCACGTTAAAGAACACTTGACAGTTGGAATTCGATGTAAGAGTAGGCTGTAGCGCGGCTGTCCAAGCACGTTAAAGAACACTTGACAGTTGGAATTTTAATTGATCTACATGTGGAAAATTTCCCTCATTATCCTCTGAATAAAATTAATAAATGTTATTTTTTTTATTTTCAGGTATCGCCAATCTGTTTTTTGTTGTGTTATTTACATTTGAAATGCTGTTAAAAATGTAGTTTAGGCTTCCAGGGTTATTTTGTGTCTTTGTTTAACCATTTTCACAGTTTTGTTGTGTTATGTAGTATATTAGAGGTGGTTCTAATTTATACAGAAGGTGTCAGTGTGTTGAGATGTGCCAGATTATTACGTGTCTTTAAAGCAACCAGGTAATTGATTTAATCCTCTCGTCAAACTCTTCTGATACCTTGACCATCATAGGTGAGTCTTTAGGGAGCTATGGTAGCTCAGTGGGCAGGCCCTGGCTCACTAACAAAGAGGTCCCAGGTTTGATCCTTGCGTGAATCTGTCCAACCTCATGGGTTTTCTCCGGATCCTTTGGTTTCCTCCCACTGCTAGAGACCCCTACGTGCAAGCGAATTATTGAAATAAAATTGAACCATATGTTAGTCCCGAAATGACCTAGTTTGTGTTGAGTGGATGTTAAACCCCATTTCTATCTCTCTGTATTAAATGTCCTGATGCATTGTTTTAAACAATAGGAATCACTTGCAAACTACAGTATCATGAAAGATGAATCTCTAATATGAATATTACTTCAAAGTTGTTCAATTCCATTCAATATTTACAAAGATATGTGGAATTGAAATTTCATTGATATGCTGCTCGCTATTAACAAGAAACCATCATCTTTTATTGGTAGTGGAGAAACCTGATGGGCTTTGTCTAAATCCGATTGAATCGAACCCGGGAGATTATCTAGCATTAGTATTTTGATTTGTTTTTCTTTATTAAATGTTTAATAATCAAACTGAATACATATTAGCGTGGATTAAGCCGTGAGGAATTTGATGTTTTAGCAACAAATGCAGGCCTGGAAATAATGGTTTTAGATGTACCTGACAAAATGTCAGACACTAATGAAATAGTACCGGACATTTTCAACTTAGTGCCAGACATGTATTAATAATATCAATAAAAAGACAAATTAGTGCCAGACAAAATGACAGGCACCAGAGGTTTAGTGCCTGACAAAGCCTGAATCTGTGTCTGACATTGTCTGTGACAGGTGCCTTATTTCCAGTCTTGGACAAATGCCAATTGCCCATTGAGACTTTAATGGTACTTTGCACCAGCTGTTTTTGTATTTTCACCTATTGTATAATCTGGTTACTTCCTCATAAGGTGAATGAACAGGTTGTTCAATTTAAGAAATGCGTTATTCTAACCCTTAAGCTGCTGAATTGTAGACGTCAGATATGATGTCAACTAATTGTTTTGCATGACGTTGGGTGCCTCTATTTAAACTTAACTGATATAACAAAAATGACATCACCATTTTCATTACTGTCACTGAAATCTGAGACAAAAGTTGTCATTAAATTTTAGTTATGTTCTCTGTCTTCATCCTTGAATAATGCACCCAACTGAACCTTGATCATTGATCTAAATGTTACTCCTGGATCTTTGTGATCAAAGGGGAGATAATCAATTACAGTGTATGTTTCTCAAAGTGTACATTAAGTTGCGAACATGGAAGTTCAATAGAGTTGTGTACATACTCTCTGTCAACTTGACCCTGACAAGAAATGTTACTCCTGGATATTTGTAGTCAAAGGCTAGATAATGAATTACAATATGTTTCTTAAAGTTTGGTTTTTTTAAGTTGCATACGTAAATTCAATAAAGTTGTGTATGTACGCTTTGTCAACTGGACCCGGACAAGAAGTGAGCATGATGTACTACAACACTCGGCAAACCTCAGCATACTTCAGTACACTACATCTAGCCTCGGCTGTATGACAAATTCTGCCTTTGGAACTACTTTCAAGTTCCCGGATTACAAATGGCGTCACCCATGAAGAGTGTTTTATCATACAAAGCTTTCAATGTCTTTAAAGTTTATCCGATTTTCTTTAAACAAAGGACAAATTTGCAAGGAAAACTCTACACACTCCTCGAACAATGCAATTTTGAGAACTTTTTTCTAAAAGCGACAAGTTTTCCTGTTAAGTGAACTGGTAGCCACATCGCAATTGTATAGGTGTAGGTACATACAGCCGAGGCTAGATATAGGGTACCAGAGTTTGCCAAGGTTTTCTGAGTGGTACTACTAGTGAACTCATTATACATTAATTATTTGAAGATATTGACTGGTAAAGCAGGGTATGAAATAAGCCTCTTATATGGTAACCTCAAAATAGGTTATGCTAATCTGCCTGAAATTTGGTTACGATGCATCAGTTTTCTGCCATATTTGTTTAGAGCTGCCCCCTATTGACATGCAATATAGTACAATTTGGATGATTTTACACCACTATAGATAGGTAGTCTACACTTTAACCCTAGAGTCAATTAAAAGATAAGCCAGGTACCCCTAAGCTCATTAAATCAGCAGGGCCCATCTCCCTAAGCCAATTAGTGGATTATTGTTAATTCTAATACCCACTATAAAATTGCAAATAACTAAAAAAAAGAACATATATTTTCTATACATAGAAAAACTTTTACAAAAATGTTCTTTCCAATGATATAAAATTCAATTGTACAAAGTAGCAATTATATTACTATCAATAATATTGAAAAGTCAGTTCCATTAAAATTATGACTTTTTTGTCATCATGAACAAGCATCTCCTAAGATTTTTTTTTTTTTTTTTAAATAGAACAGAGTTCAAAGTAAATACAAATATTACTTCATCACTGTCGGCATTTGGATATATGGCGGGAATTGTCGTCTTCTTTGTTCATTGCGTCGAAAAAAAAAAATATTTAGTTGAAATCTTCGACAATGCAATATTTCTCTATATTGCTTGTATTAAATCCTAATAAATTATTACTCAATCACCATTAATTTAAGAAATAAAAACAATAGAAATCTGTTGAGTGGTCTGGCACTTTTGTTTGCTAATGCCGTTGCAAAGCATGATGGGTCCGCGAGTTGATTCGCTACCGCCAAATGACAGGTGCGAACTTAAGGATCTTTCAGGTATTTATTTATAATTGTAATATGTTTTTAACGTAGGAGTGGGGGAATAGTTTAACCATGGACCTTATAATACAGTATATATCCATGGTTTAACTGAAACCTTCAGTTTATAAATTTAAAATTATAGCTTGGTGGTCGAGAACGGAAGAACAAAAGAATGAGGAGAAAGAACGCACTCGATCCATCAGAAGATCCAAGAGTAAGAGTCTTGTTATAGATTCTCAGGTAAACAAAGATAATGAAAATTTCAACAATAAAGGCAACACATCCCTGTTGACTATGTGGTCTGCTAGTTGTGAGTGAGAGAATAACAGTCAGAGTGCATGTTAGTTCAGGTGTGTGCTGTGAATACACAGGTCATGTGTTTAGAGAAGCATGATAACTAGTGAGTGCATTGGAGAGGGAGTTTTATTGAAATAAAATTGAACCATATGTTAGGCCCGAAATGACCTAGTTTGTGTCGAGTGGAGGTTAAACCCCATTTCTTCTCTCTCTCATTTCTCACCTCCTGTAACGGGTACATGTCATACTCATGAGTCATATTTCTGTATGAGATCCTCGAGATCACATGATCTGTAAGCTAGCAGACAACATAAGTTATATCTAACAAATAATGTATACACAGTCTTAAAGTCAAAATTCTCAATGATTAAAATGCATATTTTTATACGTCCGTAGTCCATATGTGTGTCCGTCCGTCGATCCACAATTTGTTTGTGGACTCTCTACAGGTCACAATTCTTATCCGATTTTATTGAAACTTGAAATGTAAATTTATAACCCGAAGATCTCGGTTCCTTTTGATATTCGTGCATATCGGACCGTAATGTCCTGAATAATGGCCCCTGATTGTACGAAAAATCGTGTTTTTAGCTTGTGGACCCTATAGAGGTCATAATTTTTATCCGATTTCAAAAAAATGTTTTAGTACATCACTGTTACACCCTAAGGGCAGCTGAGTTCGAATTTCGTGAAAATCGGCCCAAAATTGACAGACAAAATGGCCGCCATTCGTTCTCAAATAGCCTAAAAACATGGTATATCAAGGTTGTGGACCCTATTTTGATGGAACTTGAAATGTAAGTTTATAACCCAAAGATCTCAGTACCTGTCGATATTCGTGCATATCGAATCGTAACTTCCTGAATTATGGCCCCTGATTGTACGAAAAATGTTGTGGACCCTGTAGGGGTCACAATTTTAATTCGATTTTGATGAAAGTGAAATGCATGTTTATAACCCAAAGATCTTGGTTCATTTCGTACATCTTGGTTCATGTGGACGTATATTCTTGTCGCCCCTGTCCGTCCGTCCACAATTTGTTTGTGGACACTCTACAGGTCACAATTCTTATCCATTTTAACGAAACTTGAAATATAGGTTTATCTCCAAAAGATCTCGGCTGCTTTCGATATTGGCATGTATCGGATCGAAACTTCATGGATTATGGCCCCAGTTTGTACGAAAAATCACGTTTTTAGCTTGTGGACCCTATAGAGGTCACAATTTTTATCCGATTTTGTTGAAACTTGAAATGTAAGTTTATAACCCAAAGATCTCGGTTCCTTTTGATATTCGCGCATATCGGACCGTAATTTCCTGAATTATGGCCCCTGATTGTACGAAAAATCACGTTTTTAGCTTGTGGACCCTAAAGAGGTCATAATTTTTATCCGATTTAAAAAACCGTATTATTATATCACTGTTACACCCTAAGGACGACTGAGTTTGAATTTCGTGAAAATCGGCCCAAAATTGACAGACAAAATGGCCGCCATTCGTTCTGGAATAGCATAAGAATATGTTATAGAGGTCACAATTTTTATCCGATTTTGTTGAAACTTGAAATATAAGTTTATAACCCAAAGATCTTGGTTCCTTTCGATATTCGCACATATCGGACCGTAACTTCCTGAATTATGGCCCTTTATTGTACGAAAAATTGCGTTTTTAGCTTGTGGATCCTATAGAGGTCATAATTTTTATCCGATTTAAAAAAACGTATTATTATATCACCGTTACACACTGAGGACGACTGAGTTCAAATTTCGTGGAAATTGGCCCAAAATTGACAGACAAATTGGCTGCCGTTCATTCAGTTCCTTTCGATATTTGCGCATATCGAATTGTAATTTCCTGAATTATGGCCCTTGATTGTAGGAAAAATCACTTTCTTGTTAGCTTGTTCTCTATCCATCTCTCGAAAATGTGGGCGTATCCTGCCTGGCAGCCGCTGGTTGAATTAAATCATGAAATAGCCAAATTGTTCTAATCTAGTTAAAATCTGGAGTATCTGATGGCATCGAGAGTTGATTATTGTCTTGTCATGTTAATAAATATCTAATTAATGATTTATATAACATTTCATGCCTAAAGAAAGACCTGCAATAGGCAGATTTAGCTCTTATATAATGCCTGTTTAAACACTGCATACCGTATACACACATGCACAATAAATTAAAACTATTTGTATACACAGCAACTGAAGACATATAGAAGACATGGTATTTTAACTCACTCCGTGTCCTTGGGTCTTTTGTTCCTATCAAAATGAAAATTGTAATCATTATTTTTATACACTGGATTTTTATGTAGACTTACTATGCATTTCACAATAATAAAATATATTTGTGTACACAGCAAGTGGACACATATTGAATTGTTATTTTAAACTAATGGGAAATCAGTGTTCTTAGGTTTCATGTTCACCTCCAATTGAAATCATTATTTTTACACCTTTTTCAAATATTTTCAGCCATAAAGCTATATCAGTTGTAAAAATTCTTCGTGTGTTGAGAGTTCTACGTCCTTTACGTGCCGTAAACAGAGCTAAAGGTAGGATTTTTTTTTTTAATACTGTTTTGAAGGAGCTAAACCTCCTTACTTTATGTAGAAAATAGTGTGACACTACGGTGTTGTTACGCCATGACTATCCTTCGTCACGGCACTAAAAAACAGTGATATGCCACGGCCCGTGACACTAATCTAGTCAGGACTTTCACGCTGTATATAAAACTCCAAGGATCAATTGACACTGGCCATCAAAGAAGAATCACGGTGAAAAATAGACGGTAAGGATTCCGAAATAGCCTTAGAACCAAGGTGGGGGAAAAGCCTTATTTTCATATTAGTTATCTTTAGGATCAGCCAGTAACGATGAAAGCTAGCCTCTATCAGACATCATTACTAAAATAACTAATATAAGGATTACTTGTGTTTTCCAGTTTTTGTGTCACTTCCTGTTTCTTCAAATCTTCGTTACGCATCTACTGTAGCAATGATCTCTGTATTAAAATTATATTTGGTATGTCCTTTAATGTCCTATTGTTCTGCATCAAGAAAGACAAGCATGTTCCATGCAGTATGATACGAGAGGAATTTTAAGGCGAGTGTTTATAATTTGTTTATATGTTTTAATCTGGTATATAATGGAGTGTTTATAATATGTTAACATATTTTTGTCTTTCAAAGAAAGCAGGGGACTATTAAAATGGGTTCGTCCGTCTGTCGGTCCGTCACACTTTTTGGGACACAATAACTCTCTTTCTAATGGAGCTAGAATGTTCAAACTTGGTGTAGGTGTTTATTACGTCAATACTTTGATGGAGTTCGAAGATGAGCATTTTCTGCTTAGGGTAAGCAGAGATAAGCAATTTGATTGGTTGATGCTTTGGGACACGATAACTTTAGTTCTAATTACCTTGATTAAGTTTGATAATGAGAATTTTCTGCTTAGGCTAATGAGCGATAAGCAATTTGATTGGTCAAGGCTTCGGAACATTACAACTCTGCTTTTTATTGAGGTAGAATGTTTAAACTTGATGTTCATTAGGTGAATGTCTTGACTGAGTTCAATGATTAATATCTGGAGCTAAAGCTAAGCTTGCGCGTAGGGGTCTTTAGCAGTGGGAGGAAAGATTTTCCTTTAGGGCTAATCCATTTAAAAATATCTGGAGGGTACCACACATTTTTAAAAAAAATAATCTTTTACTGAACGTGTGGAAAAATTGGGTTTTGTGGGTAATGTAATGGGGCGTGGGGGGAGGGTCTGTTTGAAAAAAGCTTAGTATATTATGGTATCTGCCCCCCCCCCCCCCTGTAATTTTAAATGGAATATTCCTAAGGTGGTTTACATTTTATGAGAATTCAGATCCTACATGTATATTCATTATGGTTCTCGTTTCCCCGGTACTGGATAACCAGTAAAAGATCGATTGAAGAATTCACCTGGGACTGGCAGTTGATTTATATACAAGTTGTAAAATAGGGCATTTCAATGATTTTAACCTTAAAAGACTATAAATACAGTTAAATTTAAAACACTTAAATATATATTTATGAATGAAATAATATTCAAAATTTGTCCTACTCTTTGAAAAACTTGTCATGCCAGTCTGAGATATGTGAAAATGTTGGCTGATATATGTGAAGGTGGTCTCAATAGTGATATTTAATTATCAAAAACTGTATTTACTTCAACTCGTAACAAAAATTTAATCTGATCAGATTTTAATAAACAAAGGTCGACGACTCCCCACTGGAATATCTAGGGTTTAGGCCTACAAATAAAACCATTATTTCCCAGCCTAGTGAAATATTAAGGACCAGTTGATTAGCACCTTGATATTTTACAAGGTAGATCTAGTTATTAGCCGTCTGTCTCAACATTTTGTAAGGTAGGCCTAGGGAAACATTAGGTACTAGTTGATTAGTACCTTGACATTTCACCAGGTAGGCCTAGAGAAACATTAGGTACTAGTTGATCAATGTCTTGACATTTCACCAGGTAGGCCTAGTTGATTAGTTTAATTGTTATATATAACCACTATAAAGAACTAATACTTTTTTTAAAAAAAGACACCAACAGATCTAACATGTCCGCTAATGGGGATAAAATATGATTAGGGAGGGAACTCGTTTTCAAACTAATGGCAATGACACTAGAACTAAATAAACTCTATTGTATATAGGCCCGGTATAGTATTATAACATTTTCAAATTAATACCCAGATGTCAATGGCACTAAGGTCCAAGTGTTATAAGGGGAGTGGCTGCCAGCCAGGAAGCTTTATAGTAAAATCATGTCAAGTCATCAAAGAAAAAGAAACCAACAGATCTGGCTATATTTAAATTTATGGATTCCAATTACCAATAGAGTTACCTGAATTCATTCAGCCTTGCTGGTATAATTAAGACCTACACATAAGCCTGTGTTGGAATTTGAAATAACAGTGGGGCATTGTGTCGCTGTCCGGGCAGAATGTCTTTTATACGGTAGCACACACTGCATGGCATAAACCCATCTTCATTAGCCCAGTCAGTGTAGAAAAGTAGGACGTTAAACCCCATTTGACGAATACGTGAATAAAATGAGGTTTAACGTCCTACCGGTATTATGAAGACAAGTTAGTGATGTATGTAATATAGTAAACATTGTGTAGTTTATGATGGTGTATTATAGATCGATTGATTGATTGATTTGTGTTTATACGTTTTATCTAGATTGTGTCAGCTTTAGTATACCCCCCCCCCCCTCCAACAATTGTCAACCCACCCCAGCAATGTTTGTATCGTTCTTGTCTACCATATTCGTTATTAAATATTCATTCAACTTATTATATCAAATTGTTTCGTTTTTAATTTTAAATTCCTATATGTTTTGAGATCATAGCTTAGGATTTTTCTCGCCTAGTTTTCACGGAATGCATCTGAGAGGGTCAGACTGGTTAGGTCTAAATATTAAGGCCATCTGTAGATTATCGTCAAGGTTACGTGATGTAAACAGGGTTAACTCTAACCCAACCCACTGTCTTCGCCAGCAACCACATGCCCTAAACCTGTTTACATCAGGTGACCTTGATGAAATCTGCAGGTGGCCTTAATATTTAGACATGAGAATCCAGGTCTACCCAATGTTGTACATGTAAAAATATATCCAAGCCAATGTCCCCAATGACCGTAGTATACGGACCAGCAACCGAACATGACGTCATGGCCGCCACCTTTAAATTGTGACGTCATATACAAAATCGATGCGCGATTGCCCATAGAACAAGCATGTCATGTTTAATAATGTTGATCCTACTTGGGCCTTTTTGGAAGAGGATCGCCCGAGGAACAAGACAAGTACCGTTTGGGATCCAGTTCCATGTGCCCAATTCGCCTGACTAGCACACCACACTAACCAACGATCACGCTCTGCCTTCAAGCACACAACACCACACACAATGGTCAGGACGAAATGAACACCCTTTATTTTTTCTTTATTCAATTGAAAGTTTTATGTCGAAATGTTACCCAAGAGAGTTTGGTCTAAGTTAAAAGTTACAACCTGACAGTAATACCTGTCGTGGGTGGATGTGGGTGTTTAACGTTGTCACACACAAACTATGCCAATTTCTTGTATGTAGTGGGCTTTAGTTAGCAGTGGGGGGAATCCGAAAGGAACCCCATGGGGTGGGATTGAAACAACGCTACCTAACTCAGTGACATACCTTATAATCAATAGTTCATGTGTTAGGCCCACCCCCCTCCAATTTGATTATTTCTTTAAGCCATTTATTTAGCGTCATCTACAATATTTCTTAAAGCTTTTATATAAGAATGATAAATAGTAACGAAATACAAGAATATAATAAAATTTATATATTAACACAATAATTTTAAATAAAACAGTAGCAAAAATAAATTATTATTTAGTAATGGCAACATATGTAAACATCAAATATGTGCGTATATAAAAAATAAAATATGTGCATATATAAATTAAATCAAAAATTTATTATCAGTTGTAAAAGGGAGTATAGAATTTGTGAATTTATTGGAACTGGCGGAACGCTTATGTTTTAGGCTTTGTCAATATATTATATAAAACGTTATAAAATCTCAAAAGGAACAACCAACATGTCTTTTATTGTACGACAAAGTATATTTTTATATATTAAGATTCAATGAGCTAGAAAAATTTATTTGGCTCGATCCGCTTGAGGTTCTTTCTTTTCTCATATCTCTCTGTCGGGAATAATAGGGGTTTGCACTCCCCCTTTTCAAAATTCCTGTATCCACCCTTGTTGAGAGTTGACATTGTATAAAGGGACATAATGTAATTGAGGATTTGGGGCGTGTCATCACCACTGGGAAATATCAGTAGGCCTATTATAATCATCATCTTTATTTGTCTATAAATCACCATCAATCACCTTCACTATCACTAGATATATCAACATCATTAGGAAATATCCTGGTTTTTAGGAAATCTTGTCTTAGTTCATGATCCGTATTGAGAGTAAAATACTGGTAGTTATATTGACTATAATCATCATCTCTATATCATAACTATCATAATCATCATCAAAATCATTACAACCATCATCAATATTATCTATGTTGTAATCTTTAGGATGAAGAACATCTTTTAACAGAAGAAAATCCTTTAATTCACGAGGTAATTCAAGATCCCTTACCTTCTCCTTTATTCCCAATCCAAGATTCTGTCTGATGAATCTTCTACGTACAGGGACTTGAGAGATATATTACTACAGAAACTAATGAATTCTTCCCTGCCTTGTGAATGGGTAGTGTGATCTTCCTTATCAAAATTCAAAGTTGTCATAATTTCCCGCATGGGCACCACTAAGATATAACAGTTTTCTCAGTTTATCTCTATCTGAACTACTTAGTTCAGTAAGATCAATTTGATTATAGCTACTTTCACCTGAAGAGATAATGAGAGTCTGAACACAGTTTTCAGCAACTAAATATCTAATAAAACGAACAACGCGGCATGGTTCCCAGAAGCGGGGAAAACATAAGGCTGTTTTGATAATCGTGTTGCCATCATTACAGGGTAAATCGAGAAGACCAGTATTACCATTAGATAGAAGTAATTTAAAACAAGTCAAATCAAACACACTTTGATAATATTAAGATATTGTAGAGCAGATCTTCCTGAATAGTCTAACATGGTAACTATGGCACCAGCTTGAAGTAGTTTCCTTGTAAGAACTCTGTCGTTTTTCATTGCTGCCATCATTAAACTAGTTCTACCTCCATTATCTGGAATATTTACATCTATTCCATCAACACCAAGTAAAATATCAATACAAGTCATGTATATTGGATATATCTGTCTACAATAATTCTTAACAACATCATTTACCTGTCTCTTGTTCAAACCATCTTTAAACATAGTAAATCCAATGATAGAAAGATGGAGAGCCGTATGACCCTGGTTATTGTGTGTATTGATCTCTAGTCTAGGATGACGTGTCAACAATTCTAAATATTTGCTGTTTAATAAAAAGGCAGCTATCATAGTAGGTGTGTTGGTTTGAGAACATGGATGTTTGATGTCTAGTTCGTTATTTAACAACCATTTAAACGTGTTTGCAGAATAATCATAGTTAACACCAGCTAAAAGATGAAGCATATTTTCTCCTTCAGCTGTAAAACCATTAACAATCAACTTACGCCCCATGTAATAACTGAACACCCCCAACCTCTTACATTTTAAAATATCATGGAATAACTTAACTCCATTGTTACCTGACATCACATCTGAATCTGAATCTACTAAAAGTTTAGCCACCGTGATCCCCGTGTTTTAACAAATTGGATGTTAAACCCCATTCCTATCACATTATTGTATAGACCTGTCTGTCCTATTAAAATAATCAAATGATTGTGTAGATATTAAACATTATTCCTATATTATAACGTTTTGTATTTCAGTTAATAGCTAATATATAGTTTCCTGTCGACTATACTTGTAGAACAGAAATTTACTGAGTGATAAACTGGAGAAGATCTGTGAAGATTGAAGGCCGTCAGGTAAGGGTGATAACTTTCAAGTTATATTTAGTACCAGGATAGGTTTTAAATATCACAAGTTTTTTTTTAAAATGTTAAATTAAACTTCATAATTTTATGAACATATCCAGAATATGGTGTGCAGAAAAATAGGACATTAAATGATTAAAGCTTATTTTATTTCTAGAATATATCTCTCCAGATTTCTTTGTTTATATTTGTTGTTGTTTACCAGTAATCACATGCAAGTTGATACTGTCTATCTTGACATAGATTAGTCATTTACAATTTTATTTAGAATTTGTTTTTAGCGATGTGATTAAGGCAGACAAGTTTTAAATTGTGGTATAAGGGGAGATAATTCAAAATAGAGTTATCCTTTCTGGATGAAAAAAGTAGGAATGGTTAAATAAGATTTAATTAAAGTTTGTGTATCATTACAATAAAACAACTTAGTTAGTCTCAGTCAGACTTGACAGTCCAGTTGACAAATTGGAGATCTTACCTGTTAGTCAATTTACTGTTAAAAAATAGTATTTCTAATAATTTAACCTTAAAATACAGTTACATTGATATATCTAAAAAATTGGAATAATGTTATAAATTGTATAAACAATACCTAGATAAGTTTTTAGCGTCTTGTAAATGTTCTCTCCATTATCTATAAAAGAAAACCTATGTTTTGTTTATGTTTTTCAGAGCTGCTGTATTCGAACATAAACCGTCATTAAAAGTTGGTTGTGATTATTTGATACGTGGTTGTGTCAAGAGATATCCACTAGAAAACTGTCCACTGTGTAGCTGAAGATCCTGAGGTAATGTTTTTTATATTTTGTCTAATAACCAAAGCGTATTAATTCCCTAACTTAACAAAACTGTATAATATTAATAATGGTTTAATCTAGGATGCAGCCCTTTATAAACTAGTTATAGATATAATGCTGCAAACTTGTACACCAAAAAGTATAATTTGTTTCCATGGAAACACAAAAACTATTAAATCCATGCGTGACATAAAAATGTGACTCGCGTGACAGGTAGAAAAAAACACTAATGTTTCAATATAATCAACTAATTTTTTTATTGTCTTTCATTGTCAAAACAAACAAGAAATAATTTGCTCAAAAATATTTCAATCAAAATTATAAATTCTTTATTTAGCCAGGACTCCTCTGGATCTGAAGGCCAGGTATATAGATTATCTCCAACTCTTTGAAGGTATCGCAAAAGAACATCTTGACCATCAACATCCAAAACTTGAGCCATAGAAATATATTTTATATCGGACCGTTTACCCGAAAAAGATTCAGCAACCAGTGACATCCTGAAAAGAAAACAACAAATTAGTTTTAGAATGAAAACATGTTAGGCTAAAAGCAGTATAGCAAACTGAATTACTGTCCTAAAGTCGCTAAAAATAAAGTTAAAAGTAGAACAATATAGCGTGACTCGTGTGACATGTGACTCGCGTGACATGACTTTAAGTAGTTTTTTTTGCGCTAGAAAAATTGATAGCATTACAAAAATTCATTCAGATATTCAGTTTTTTATGCTTATTTAACATTAATATTTGTCAAATAATAAAGTTATTTTAAAAGGGTGCTATAAAAGAAATATACTCACTTTTGTGACTTGCGTGACCATCAAAATGAGGTAGTTTTGGGATCCAGAAAAATTAGGGATCGGCTTCACTCATCGACAAATTTCTTTAACTGAGTAGAAAGTGACCATTTTGATCTCATTTGGTCAAAATAAACCAAGATTATAATAGAATGTGCCAGGGATAATCCATTTTTATTCCATAATATCATGTTTATATTATACTTACCATTTTAAGGATAAGGAGTGCGGATGGCCAATATTTTAAATGTTAATAATTTTGTGATTTTAATTTTTGACTTGATGTTCTGATATGTTTATTAAGTGTTACTTGTGTCTTCTATTTGTTTTGTTTTGTTTTAAATTTGTTCAATATTCAAACCACGGATCTCACTTTAGATAGTTGACCGAAGATAAAAAGTTTATTCTCTTATTTGGACGAGTCAGAAATGCAAGGCTCCATATTGTACACATTGTCGTGCACTTAATAGAACCCTTGACAGACAGTTGGAATGTCGTGGAAGACTAGATGGGAATGTCGCTGTCTGAGTAAACTTTCCCTCATAGTACACTGTATGACGTATGTCGATCTTCATTAGTCCTGCAGAAAAGTAGGACGTTAAACCCCATTTCATGTTATATCACTTAATCTACATTTAAAATAAAAAGTAACACATAATATAAGATTATGTTTGTTTTTTTTTTTCAGGAGGTAAAAAATGTCCTTCCTGTGATAAACGAATTTATCATGTAAAATGGAAAGTGTCAGTTGAAGTAATGGAGAATTGATAGGCACAAAGAGAACTAGAAGAAGTTGTAGATTTCTTGAAATAATTTAAAATATACGTCTACTTTTGTTGAGAAAAATACCAAATATGTATATTCTACAATCTCAGCTTCAAATTTACAATTTACTTACAAAAATATTTATTTACATTGTATTCAATGTCTCTAATATATGAAATATTGTAAAAATTGAATCACTGGGGGCCGTGTCAGGCCCCCAAATATTCTGTTGAGTATATACAAAGATATGATGAATTAAAAATTGGTCAATATTCAGAATCCTCTACAGATGATATAAATGGGATATGATCAAAAGTCAAGGCCACCTGTAATCTTAGGTAAAATCTTCTGATTACTCTGTTTTTAATCTGACTCGGGAGATTTTCTAACATTAATTTTACTTTCTTAAAGATGTATCATATTGTAATATATAGAATTCGGTCTTTTATATAGGGCTATTATTGTTCAATGTACACTTATTATAAATTATATCATTGCATACTTCTTTTCCAAAATGTTCAATCTTGCATTAAAATGGTCCTTAGTTACGAACATATTTATATGTCACAACGTAGACGTCCATCTTGTGTCAGATTGTTACATATATTTCTATTTGTTTAATGATCATTGTCAACACTAGTATTTTATCTTGGTTGTTATAATAATTATGTTTTATAACCAGGGTTGACGTAGCTCAACTGGATTATATTGTTACCTATTACGTCTTGAATAATTAAACATGGTATGATCACATTTGATCAAATTACTCGGTTCAATAGTTATTGTCCATTTTGTCTGTTTATAATCAATCTTTTTGTTGTACATCTCAAATTATTCCTGGTCAAATTTAAGTAAAACGGACAAGTTCGTTTTAATATTTAAGTAGGCTATTTTTCAAAGAAGTGGCGACATTCAGAAAAGGGACAATTATTCATTGGTTGATAACGTCACGTGACAGTCTAATTTTCCTATATAAAGGGAGCTAGAATGTCGGAAGAGCAGATAACGGTTCGTTATATCCAAAGCTAACCAAGAGATAAAACCGATACTTTATAACAATTACCGTATAATCACAACCTATTAACTAATTAGAAAGGTGAGAATAGTGGCCTTGATGGAACTTGGTCGTACATGTTAATGTTACAAATGTCACCATAAGTAAGTCTGCAGAATATGCCTCCATTATCACCGGGTTAACCAATGTGCGACGTCAAGGACGTTAAGGGTTTGTGTTGTGAACGTTATCTCCCACCACGCCGGACACCCATATTATTATAGAATGATTCACTAACTGTATTTTATTGTTATTCATGTCATGACATAACCTTGAAATAAAGGAACGGGCATATTGAACATATTATTAGTCTTAGTCGTTACTTACTAGAGGAACACAAGAGTAACCTCCTCTGAATAGTTGGGAATAGCTTTGATGAATCTCGCATCTTGATTGTTTGGGTTGGGTGTTATACAAAATTCGAGGGATGCATTACACGAGGTCATATATGACATGATTTAGGTGAATTTTTAGAGCAAAGAGTTTAGCAGAGATGATTATGTGGTTTGGTTCATGTTTGGATATCCCGTCCGAAAGTAAGCTGATAATTTATTTTTAGTATTTTTATTCTCGGCTGCTAGATTGGCTGTTCTAAAGACAAGGTTGTATTTCTTAAAGCAAAATCACAAGTTAGAAATACGTGCTGTATTTAAATCAGTTTTAACAGATCATATGAATAATGTTTATATTTATATGAAACATCATGGATTATTACCCAAGTTTCAACTTTTATATCAATTAAATCCATATATAGAAATTATTGATGATAAAATCCTTGTGAAATTTATTAGTAGGATAATATAGTTATACTTTATAATACTTATTATTTTTTTTAATATTTCTATGCCTTTTGATAAATAAAATAAATTTAAAAAAAAAAGATTGTCCATCATCCAAAATATTTACATATAACTTAAAATTGTTCACCCAAGACCCTTTTTAAAAATAAAAAATAACACCCTATCCAATACAATTCATACTTCTGTTAGACTGGTTAAAAGTGCTACCAACACCCTGGTGCTACCCTGGGACATATTTTGTATTGGTAGCATCGAAGTTGTAATATTTAACGTAGGACGCCGTGTTGGTCAAGGGAGACAACTCGAATCGTATTGACAGGCTAAGACTGATGTGTGTTGGGTGGCCGAATTGTTTAAAGCGTTGTATCATAAGGTCTGTCATTGAGTGGCGTGGTTTCGATTCGCTGCTTGTACGTGAAAAAGAGAAGGTTCGCCTGTCCAATCTCATGGGTTATCCCGGGTCCTCCAATTGCCCCCACGGGTACGCGCAAGCGAGTTATTGAGATAACATTGAACCATACGTTAGTCCTTAGATGACGATTTCACTCTCTCACCATTGACGGGTTTGACCTTTTCGATCTAATCTAGCCCCGTTCAAAGAAATCTATAGACTGTGACGTCATTTTAGTACGCAATATTCCTAATTCACGTTTGTTTACTTCCGGATCAGTCCAACTCAAATTTATGAATACTCACCCAAATCCTGGCAGCAAATAAATGTATCAATTCAAACGTTCTTCGTCGATCCGAGATCAAAGACAAAACATAAGATTCAAAACGGGGGAGCGGGTGAAAGTCATAAATAGACAAACTATATTCATTAGTCAGGAACTTCAAAGTTAACACGAACCAGTGCTGACAGGTGGAACGTTAAACTCCATTCATTCTTGGGGGATTGGATGGCCGGATGGTTAGGGCGAACGCGTTTTATCATAAGGTTTGTCAATGACTGAACTGGTGTGGTTCGATTCCCCGGTTGTATGTGACAAGGAGTAGGTTCGCCTGTCCAAGCCTAACAAATTAATAAACGAAAATAACTTTAATGAATCAAAATGGTGGTCTTTGATAAAAAACAGAAACGTGTCTTTTAATAGGGGAATTCTGAATATAAACTACCGACACTTAAATCGAATGATATAATACTGTCTAAAACGAAAAACGCTAGAAACTATATATAAATCATTCATTCTTCCAATTTTCGATTATGCAGATTGTGTATGGAATAATTGTTCTAAAGATAAATCTACCCAACTTGAAAAACTTCAACTCGACGCATTGCGTACTATAACCGGTCTTCCATGTGGTACCTCTCATAACATACTTTATACGGAAACTGGAATCTGTCAGCTTCAATTAAGACGCTATCAACATAAAATGATACTTTTCTACAAAATTTTTAATGGACTAGTCCCTACATATCTAACCGATATAGTTCCACCTCTTTTATCCGCTGACCATCCCAACCGTCTTCGAAACTCAAACCAAATAATTAAGCAAATAAACTGTAGAACATTACTTTACCAGAATTCTTTCTTTCCATCTTCTGTTAAACAGTGGAATGATCTAAGTCTTCCAATAAAAAATTCAAAAACTATTTCTGAATTCAAAACTAAATTAAAATCAAGCATGCATTTAATCGAAACTAATGCCCACCACTATATTGGCGAATGGCATTTACAGATAATCCATTGTAAACTTCGAAACTCAAAGAGCGATTTAAACCTTCACAAGTGTTTGATACATATATCGGAAAATCCCTCTTGTTTATGTGGTCAAGGTGTCGAAGACTGTGAACATTATTTCTTACACTGTCCACTATACAACTCTTAGCGAAATATAACAAGATTTTGAACATAAAAATATACAAACGATACTTTCTGGAAACACGGCTGTTTCTTTTGAGGACAATTCCTTCATCGTTGAAATCGTACATGACTTTATCAAACTAACGAAACGCTTTAAAACTGCCTAGATCATTACCAAACCTTTCCTCCCTCAGAAAGCAGGCGAACTCATAAAACTTGGCTAACTAATTTTGGGCCTTGGCATCGACATCGTCTTATTGAATATCTACCGTTATAATCTACTTGTATGTGTATTGTATGTTCATTCCAAGGGATCTTTACCTTCACCTTCTGCACCCTGTAAAATTTGTAAATCAAACATATCCAGTCGTCTATCTTCTCAATGATCATTATTTACGGAAGCGATTTTACATAAGCAGCAATGCTTGTTATTGTATCCATGTATGTTAAATATAGCTGTCACTCACTAAGAAATAAAATATTGTTTAAACTCTTAAACCTCGTGGGTTTCCTCCCACTGTTAAAGACCCCTACGCACAAGCGAATTATTGAAAAAAATTCGAACCATATGCTAGTCCCTAAATGACCTAATTTGTGGACGTTAAACCCTTTTTCTCTATCTTTCTCCATTCATTCTTAAGTAATTAAGGGACTTGTCAATACTATACGCTAACCCGTAAGGCTGATACAGAGCCATGGTGGCTCAGTGCGTTGGACGTTGCCTCGCTAACCTAGAGGTCCCGTGTTCGATCCCTGCTTTGGCCGAGAACGTTCATCGAGATTTTCCGGCGTGATTCTGCTTTGTCTGTCTTGTAGGGCGGGTGACCTTGCACGCAACAACGTATAGTCGTTTGGATGGGACGAAAGACCGAAATCCCTTGTACACATAGGCATGCACGTAAAAGAACCCTTGACAGTTTTACTTCGAGATAAGCGTAGGCCATAGAGCCGCTGTCTTGGCAAAATGTCCCTCATAGCAAGCTACATGGCGTATGTCCGTTTTCATTAGCACAAACGGAGAACTGAGGACGTTAAGCCCCATTTCATTTCATTTCATTTGTACATACGCATGTGTATTGCACAACAACTTGACAATAGCTGCGTATACTGAAAATATCTCTTTTATAATGTAAATAATGACTGTGAACGAAGTGATATAGGTCATATGTATGATATAACTGTTATAACTTTAAACAGCAGATAGCGAGGAATACTGGCTTCTCAGAAACTATACTTGTGTAATTCTTGGAAACAAGTAACTATTTTACAATCTCACTGTTACAAGGTAGTGTTTATAATTATTATTACCATTATTTTACCGTTACTGTTACAAGATAGTGTTTAGTGTTTATTACCAACTGCACGTGGGGGGGGGGGGATTTATACAAGTAATCAATATATAGTAAATTATTAATTAAACATTTATAATTTACACAACTACAATGTTAATATAACAAAAAGCAACACCTTGAATTAAGGAATATTTTGAATTTTTTAATAAAATATGATTCCTTTGCTTCTAATAGATAGTTGTTTTTGCTGTTTAATTGATATAACGGAAAGACATTAAAATTGCATTTGCCACAAACATCGAGGGGTCGGCTCAGGTGTATTATCCTGTATAGCGGATTAAGAATATGTTGTCGATGGAGGTTCATTCTTAATCTAAGCATATTTATGGTCTTTCCGATATATCTACCCTTACAGCCCGGAAAATTATAACAGATTTACAAGTCATTGGTTGTTTTACATGAAATGTAAAATTGTCCGTGATATTTATGGATGAACCTTCAATTATGATTGAACACGTTTTACATTTGGATTCATTACACTTGTTAACTGTGGGTATGATTTTAGTTGATTCGAATTTTGATGAGATTAGTAATTTAGCCAAGCTGCTTTAAACTATTTATTATTTTTGTCTTATTTATTACATCATCCATAATCGGGCTATTTTTAAGAATATGGAGATTATTATTAATTATAGATTTACCATCTCCTTGTGATGGGTTTTTGGACACCTTAATTTGCTCTGATCTAAACTTAAAGCTTTTCGAATGACATCATCTACTAGTTTTGCCGGGTAGTGTTGCTTTTTTAGAAAACCTTTAAGCTCATTAAGGCGCATCTATTTGATATCCGATTGTGAAACTATGGTGCACACACGTCTGGCTAAATTATACGGAATATTACTATTATTATGAGAAAGATGGCATGAATTAAAATTGAGATACTGATGTGTGTCTGTCGGTTTATAATACATATCATTTTAATTTGACCATTCGGTAAAAGATTCACCGTGACATCGAGAAAGTTTAGTTTTACTTTACTAGATTCAACAGTGAATTTAATGTCGACATCTAGGCTATTCAAGAGTTCGTTAAATCATCTCTGGTAGACAGATTCTAATAACACTCTAACTAAACGGTATAAATAATTCATGTATATTTAGACAATCACATATTTTAAATATAAGAATTGTTATATAATATAGATGTATTGATTAATTCTTGATTAATAAGACAGAATACGGCGAATTTTTACATTGTTATTGTATTTATATCATCTTTAAAACTAAAACAACATCTTTAATATATTTTAGGTTGCGGTTTAAACTACCTCAAGCTGAAAAGGATGGAAATATACAGGAAGTCGTAGAAATATTATCATTACAAGATAAGATGCAAGCTTTACCTATAGCTGCTGAATACGGGTTTTATAAAGTTATGGTTTGTCTGTTAGAAGACGGAGTTGTTGATATACATTATGTTGGGTGACCTATTTACGGCAAATATAAAAATTTAAAAGACCGTAGAATTGTGAAATGAATAGACCTACACAACTTCTAAATATAAATAAACAAAATACCAATACTTCTTTCTTTAAACTAATTTGGGATGATCGGGTCTACTATGGCACACAAAAATAAATTATGCCGTGACAGACATGGTTTGCGTACGTCGGCTTTTACCATGGCTTTGCCGTTTAATTGCCGTGGTAAATTTAGAGCGCAAGTTTGTGTACATAGAAGGGCGAAGGGGTTTAAATACGACTGGGCGGCTTTCTTCGATTTTTTCTTTGTGCTGGGCGACAAAAAAATACTGACGGACGCAAGCGCCAGGCGCCACCCAGCGTGGCTACACCCCTGGATGCTGGTGTAGATGTCAACCAGGTGAATGATGATAAAGATACACCTATATTGATAGCTGCTGAACGAGGGTTGTATGAAGTTGTGATATATCTGTTAAAACATGGAGTAGATGTACATGGTGTTGATAGCTATAAGGACAACCTGATATATAAACTTTTAGATTACTATGATAATGATGACAAACCAGGTAGACGTGATTTGTTATTACAATGTGTAGTTACATTAGTTGATGCTGGTGTAGATGTCAACAAGGTGAATGATGATCAACAGACACCTATATTTATAGCTGCTATTATTAGTATTAAAGGGTTGTATGAAGTTGTAATGTATCTGTTAAACACGGAGTAGATGTAGGGGAGACCGGGGTTCATTGAACATATGGGTACATTGAACCACCATGGATATTTCCTTTATAAATAATACTAGGCAACCCAAGACTACACAGAAGTGAGATAACTTCTTAGGCCTATTTCCCCGTCAATAGGCAGTAGCAACATGATGTCAATTATTTTTTAGGCAATAATTTTTTTTAAAAAGAGCTCTTAAAATTGAAAATGCACTACTTCCACTTATCATTTTCCATACATGTTAATTGTTTAGCCTAGGCAATTCCTGTACTTAAAATCAGTTCATTATATATATGTCTAATCTACAATCCAGATAAACAGGGGGTTGATCCATAGAGGGCATATTGAATTTTTTTTAAATTTTGATCATGAAACTGTGATGTGGCAGATTGCATTGAACCACTGTCAATGGACAGGCGATACGTTTCAAGTCAGTAGCTTGAAGCGTATATATGGTATTAGTGTCAGTGGCCTGTGGCACGAAGTAACAGTATATTGTCGCATACATAATATATTATGTCAACGCTTGGGCGATATAATATATTATGTCAACGCTTGGAACTATAAAAATGTTTTGAAAACATATAGACAGGAGCTTGAATCACGTCCCCTATAGGCCCACCAGAGGCAACAAGAACTGATATAGCGAGAACCGTCAGCTCTTTATCTAAATCTTATATTGTAAGGTTATCGACACCCTGTCCGTATCGATGTCTACTATAAAATAAATGTGGGGATGGGAGAGTGGGATAGCCAAATAGCTGGACTTGTCAGGATCTCCGAGCTGGCGTCTTATATTCTGTTGTTTTCCTCCTTCAATGTCTAACGACTAAGACTAATAATACGTTCAATATGCCCGTTCCTTTATTTCAAGGTTATGTCATGACATGAATAACAATAAAATACAGTTAGTAAATCATTCTATAATATATTAAATATGGGAGATAACGTTCACAAACCCTTAACGTCCTTGACGTCGCACATTGGTTTACCCGGTGATAATGGCGGCATATTCTGCCGATTAATGATGACATTTGTAACATTAACATGTATGACCAAGTTCCATCACGACCACGATTCTCACCTTTCTAATTAGTTAAAAGGTTGTGAATATACGGTAGTTGTTAAAAAGTTTCGGTTTTATCTCTTGGTTACATATTAATACAACGAACAGTTATCTGCCCTTAGGGCGTTGTTGTTGTTTATTGCACGATATTATGGACAGGTTGATTTAATTAAGTTATTTACATCTGAATGAGTAATATATAGAAAATAGGTAAAAACACTAAATAATAAAAAGTTCTTGTATATCTAAAAGTCACTTTAAAACACAGTTTTAACATCGCTGTCGTGAGAAGAGAAGAGAGGGCTGGTCATCTTCTCACTTTGTCATAATTAAAACAAGTTAAAACAGGAGATGAAATACTAGTGTTAACAATGATCAAATAGAAATATATGTAACAATCTGAGAAGTCGGTGCTAAGATGGACGTGACACAAGATGGAGGCTAACAAGTAAGTAGAACTTGTAAGTTTTATATCAAATATTACAATAGGCCTATATAAAAGACCGGATTCTATATATTACAATATATTGCATATTTAAGAAAGAAAAATTAACGGTAGAAAATCTCCCAAGTCGGATAAAACAGAAGATTACAGGTGGCCTTGACTTTTGATCATACCCCATTTATATCATCTGTAGAAGATTCCGAATATTGACACGTTTTTAATTTATCATATCTTTGTAAAATACTCAACAGAATATTTTTATACTGACACGCCTCCCAGAGATTCAATTTTTACAATATTGTAGTTTGTAAAGGATTCCTCAATATCTCAAATGTCAGACATTGAATACAATGTAAATAAATATTTTTGTAAATTTGAAGCCAAGATTGTGGAATATATATATTTGGTATGTTTATCTACAAAAGTAGAGGTATATTTTAAATTATTTCAATTTTTTAAAGAAATCTACAACTTCTTCTAGTTCTCTTTGTTTAGCTTGTTTATGTGCACATCTATTGTCCATTACTTCAGCTGACACTTTCCATTTTTCATTCGTATATCACAGGAAGGACATTTTTTACCTCCTGAAAAAAAAAACAAACATAATCTTATATTATGTGTTACTATTTATTTTAAATGTAGATTAAGTGATATAACATGAAATGGGGTTTAACGTCCTACTTTTCTGCTTCTACAGGACTAATGAAGATCGACATACGTCATACAGTGTACTATGAGGGAAAGTTTACTCAGACAGCGACATTCCCATCTAGTCTTCCACGACATTCCAACTGTCTGTCAAGGGTTCTATTACGTGCACGACAATGTGTACAATATGGAGCCTTGCGTTTCTGACTCAGTCAAATAACAGAATACACTTTTAATTTTCAGTCAACTATCTAAAGTGAGATCCGTGGTTTGAATATCGAGCAAATTTAAAAATTAAACAAAACGAATAGAAGACACAAGTAACACTAAATAAACATATCATTTAAGCAGGTGTAAAGTTTTAGTTTTCTTCACCAACTGAGGTAATGAAGACGGTCGCCATGACTTCCAGCAGTATTATAAATATTTACCTATAAATGAAGGTGTTTTCATGTACGTATCTAAACAACCATTATGAAACAGATGACCACAATAAACTCTCTCTATCTGATTTTTACGACCTTTCAATTGATTCTGAAATAAAATATTTTTCACACATTATCTAATTGTTCTGACTTAAAGTTTTGGATTTAATAGTTTTTGTGTTTTCAACTAGTTTATAATAAACGGCTGTATCCTAGATTAAACCATTATTAATATTATACAGTCTTTGTCAAGTTTGTTGTTAGGGAATTAATATTCTTTGGTTATTAGACAAAATATAAAAACCATTACCTCAGGATCTTCAGCTAAAACGGTGGACAGTTTTCTAGTGGATATCTCTTGACACAATCACGTATCAAATTATCACAAACAACTTTTAATGACGGTGTATGTTCGAATACAGCAGCTCTGAAAAACATAAACAAAACATACGTTTTCTTTTATAGATAATGGAGACAATATTTACAAGACGCTAAAAACATATCAAGGTATTGTTTATACAATTTATAACATTATTCCAATTTTTTAGATACATTTTGTAGTGTTTTTACACATAACAACTATCAATGTAACTGTATTTATTGTATTTTAAGGTTAAATTATTAGAAATTCTAATTGTTTAATAGTACCAGTTGGTCAAATGGGTTAAATCCTATTTCTATATCATCCACAAAGGATAACTCTATTTTGATTTATCTCCCCTTAAATTAGTCTGCCTTATCCATCACTCAATAAAAACAATTTACAAATATTTCTAAGTAATATAGTAAATCTCCCCATAAACCAGAATTTAAAACTTGTCTGCCGTATCACTTCATTCAAAAAAAAATATTTCTAAATAAAATCGTAAATAACGAGTCTATGTCAAGATAGACAGAATCAAGTTCCATGTGATTACTGGTAAACAACAACAAATATAAACAAAGAAATCTGGAGAGATATATTCTAGAAATCAAATAGGCTTTAATCATTTAACCCCGAGTCTGACATGAGAAAAGTGGATGTCAATTTATAAAATGAAAAATAAATCAATTTTTCTTACCTTCTATAGTAAATATATTCTTTCAACATCATTTCAAATATTATTCTATTCCTCTCCAATCATATCTCTTGGTTAATATAATTCATTGTGTTGTTATTTAAAACAATATTGGGTTAAAGTTGACTTTGATGACCACCAAAACATCACATCAGTTGATTTTCTATTCCTGTTATTCAACCTGGTAATACTACTTTCAATTTGTTTATAAATAGATTTAACGTGACCTATTGACTTGTGACGTAATAACCAATGACGTTGTAAAAACTTGTAATGACGTGTTACTAGTTTTAATGGCTGACAGGTAGCCAGTCTGTGTACAGAATGTTGTTGATTGACAGAAAATGGTTTATAACAAATCTTTAAATTTACATCAAAATAAAACATCTTCATCATTTAGTTCTAACAGAATTATTAACAAGTAAAATAAAGATGTTGTATGATTATTTATATTCTATTTATCAAGGCCTATTTAAAATAAATATGATACACATTTTGATTTACGCCACCGACGAGTCCAGTCTAATAAACTACCATAATCACGACACTTGACATTTATATTCTATTTATCAAGGCCTAATTCACGTAAATATGATACACATTCTTTTCTACGCCACAGACGAGCATAGTCTAATAAACTACCATAACGACCCTTAACATGTAACATGGCACCGGCAGAGAAGAGTAACTGTATCTTATCTAACGACTGTTTGTTAGACATCACACAATAAAATACTGGTGTCTCATTACCATCATTCCTATCATTTGTATCAAGTCCTTGTTCCAATAAATATTTTACACAGTCTATTGTACCCCACAGACACGCACAGTGTAATAAACTATTACCATAACGATTCTTAACATGTAACATGGCACCGGCAGAGAAGAGTAACTGTATCTTATCTACCGGCTGTTTGTCAGACAACACACAAAAAAATACTGGTGTCTGATTATAATCATTGAGAGGAATATTTAAATCGATATTTTGATGTATTAAAGTTTTGACATCATCAAGTGTACCATATTCACAAGTTTCACGTATTGATTCCCAGTCCATTTTATTGTTGTCGGTTGTTTTATTATAGTTAGTTGTTATTACATCTTGTGTAACAAATGGTTGGTTTAATAATGGAGTTGTTGATGTGATGGTGGTGGCCATATTGTTTTGTATAGATGTCTGACTATATTTAACATCATCTGAAATTATATAATATTCATACTAGTTGATTACCTGTTCATATATATCGTTCTGATGGTGGTTAAAAACCCTGGCCATCTTTAAACTAGGTTATCTTTGTTGTCTGAACGTACAGGTGGGGTAATTTCGAGTAGGATATACACCTGAGTTATTTTAATTATATTTATAACCCTTGACCATGGTTTGTCACAACATGTGAAAGATATACAACCCTGGCTTAAAAACACTTCAACTAGAAAATTACTTGCCATTTCTTTAATTATTAATTAAAATGGCTAAAACGTAATGACATACCTGGAATTGTCATCCCTTTGCTTTCTTCATCTATTAGTAAGTGATCTGTATCATCCGTATCTGTAATAGAAACATATATATTAGTAAGTACAGAACAAAGATAGGTTGCCAGACAAGGAAACATACATACACACCAGCACAGTCGTCGGAGCCGTCAACACGGGTTGTCGCATATTTTCTTTTGCGTCTGTAATACTCTGTAATTAAAACATACTCTAAAATCGGATTAAGAGCAACATCAGAAACCATTAGAATTTGTTTGGCTTCTAGTTCTGCCCCATGTTAACGTTTAGAATCAAAAACCCAGATGGTAACCGCACTGACAAGACACTATCAACTCAAGTGATATAGATATACCTATGTATGTACTGAATACAAAGTTCGTGCGTGTGCAAGTCCTTTTCAGTTTTCAAAAGACAAAGATACTTAGATAGTTTGCTACGCAACGAAACATACACCCTCTGCAGCTAAATCGTCCGGGCAGTCGATGAACAAGGGCTGTCACATATTTATTCTTTTGTAGGTAATGGGAGAATTTAAAAGATACTGATATTAATTTCCTACACAGATCAAACGAAAATCTCTGTCGTTAGAGCGTTCACAAGGTTCAACAAAGTGAAAGGGCCAGAACTTTTGAAATTCAATAGGATTCTTCGTTTTACTAATTTAAAAAATATTAATATAAATTTAATACAGATCGGATGATAACTTTAATCTTTATTCCTTCACGAAGTTCAACAAAGTGAAACACGGACCATAAATAACTGTAGAGTAGACGTAAATAAATACTAGGCTTCTTCGTCCCGTTAATGTAAACAAGATTAATATAAATTCAAACTGATCAGACAATAAATGGTGTTCACAAGAAATTGTGGACGACGGACAGCAATACATTACCGTGTGGACGTTTATAAAATCATATAAAATGCAACTGAAAGACGACTTGTCTTGACCACATGCTTCTGCTAAATGACGTCTCTTGTTGGCTGTCGTCTGCTGAATTAAGTCACCTGACGACGGTCGTCTGCTAAATGACGTCATTTAATTAGAGCGTTAAAAACAATGACGTCATGTGCTATTTTTTGTTGTACGAAATGTTACTGCTGAACAGTCAGCCATTTCTTAAAATGTAGCCCACTTCCAATCTAGAAAATCACTGATTTTTTTATTTGTTATCATGTTGGTGTTATTCTCGAATTGTGCTAAAATAAAGTAGAGTCACGGTGTTAGTGGGTGGGGGGGGGGGGTAGGCCTACTGACGGATTCCTTCGAAAATAAACTAAAATCTCTACTGCACAGCACATAATTTCTTTACGGCTATGTTTAAATATAGACCTATACCCAACATATATTAAAATAGTAATTATTTTATACATATACACACCATACATAGGCCTATGTTTGTTAAGACTATTTAAAGGCAAGGGACCGGTTAACTCTCCGTTAGATTTCTGTTGCTGAAATGTCAATTTCATTAGGCTATCCGTTAGCTACAGATTAAAGTTAATTCAAGAGAAGACTGTCTGATCACTGGCTGAATATTAGGCCTAAATTTTTAAATTCAATGTAGCCTATTATTAATATCATTGCTCAACTTTCACATAATAATGTATCCAGGTTATCTAAACGAAAATATACTACCACAAAATATTACAAATTACATAACATATATTACCTTGAATCAGGATAATATAGGGGCCTATACATGTAAAATAGTGGGGAGCGGGCACGTTCCCAATTCATTACAACAGAAATTAAATAAAATAAACTTTAACGTCCTACTGTCGTGTTCCGGCTCATGAAGAAGGGCGTACGCCATACAGTGTAGGCCTACTAAGAGGGAGATTTTTCCCGGACAGTGGCACTACTGTCTACTCTTATAACGGATTCCAACTGCCAAGGGATATTTTACAGGCACGCCAATGTATACACGGGACCTCGGTTTTTCGTCCCATCAGGATGACTATATGCTGTCCCGTCAGTCGCTCTGTCCGGCACCACTGAGAAGGGGGGGAAACCACATCAGAAATCCTGATGAACTTCTCGGCCAACACCGGGATAAAATAAGGGTTAGCGAGCCAATGCGTCTTTCTCAATGAGCCACAGCGACTCACTGTAAAAAATATCCATTGTTTATGTGGTCGAATTCCGCAGTTTAACACTTTTTTTCTGTTAATCGATGGCTTTTTTGGGTGAAATTGTGTTAAAAGTGTAAACTATTTCTTCAAATTACGTGTTTTATGTATTTCTATGGAATATTCAGTATTTAACAGGAATTTTCGGTGAAATTAGGGATAAAATATTTTATTCCCGTCTATTATGGACTAATTCTGTTATTTTACGGAATAAACAGTGGATTGACCATGAATTTCCGTGAAAATTAGGGATAAAATGTTTTATTCTATTCTATAATGGACTTAATTCTGTTTTACGGGATAAACGGTGGATTGACCATGAATTACGGATCATTTCTGTTTGCAAATGCAACGATAAGTAATCGTATACATATATAATTATTCCTAATAATTATCATGTTATAGTATTCATTTCAATTTATTAACCATAATATGAGGAATTATATTTTGTAAACTTTGGTATATTACATGTCATGTATAACCAATTTCCATAATTATAAAATCTATAAAGTGTATTGTTATTCATCAGATTGTAAGTATTTTCATAAATGTATAAAAATATGTTTTAACGCTCCGTATGTATAGGTTGTATTATCTGGTGATCAAGCACGCTTAAATCCAGGTAGTATAACCGATTGGTTAGTGTAAGCCGGTTTGTCTCTATATGGCAGAGTTTACATATATACCTGAAAGCCTTACTGACGAACAGCGGTTTGTGATACCTTGCTCTCGAATAAGATATTCAGTATTCTTCTAATAACGGAAAAAGGTTGCGAATAAAGATTGTCTGCGATATTACTTCGGCGGAAGCGGACGTTAAATAAAGCTATTTCACACACGCGTATAAAGTCATTGGTTAATTCAATTTCATGCTCGGGAAACAAAAATTACCAGGATTTTTATTTCCGTGTTTGAAAATAGAATTTATGTTAATTGAAGGAGTTTCTGTAAATCAAAGGAAACATAAATACGGATAAAATGTTCCTGGTAATTTTTGTTTCCGGAGTTTTTACGTTTTTTCACGGTTTTTTTTTTTGTTACAGTGCAGGAAACAAAAATTATCAGGATTTTGGTTTTTCTGTATTTGAAAATAGAATTTATGTTAATTGAAGGAATTTCTGTAAATTACAGAAAAAACATATACGCATAAAATTTTCCTGGTAATTTTTGTTTCCGGATTTTTTTATGTTTTTTTCACGGATTTGTTTTGTTACAGTGTAGTAACCGAACAGGCTTAGTTGTACATTAAGGCAGGGGCCAATATAGAATTTATCCAAGATCGTATAAACTATCATAGGCCTACATATTAAGAATAGAAATTGGACAATAATTGTGGCCTCTTGTGGGTCAACATATGGTCCGCGGTATCATCCATAGGCGTGAAGCTCAAACTAATTCAGGGGGGCATAAGAGAAAATTTCCCGAAATCAATACCGTTTTTTCGGGCATACCTATCATAAGAGAGCTTCGGGCATATTTTCGGGCATGCAGTGGACAAGAAAAAGACGAGAAAATACTTTTCGGGCAGTGTGGATCTCATAGAAATAAGTTAGTTATATTTTTTCTCGAAACGTTAATAGAAAAAAAAGGTCGTCGAATTTTTCATTGCCCGAAAATAAATTTTTTTGGGGGGCGGGGGGGCAAATGCCCCCCCCCCCCTGTCCCCCCCCCCCGGCTCCTACGCCTATGGTATCATCCAAGCTTCAAGGATCAAACCAACTATTATTTGCGTAAAGGGGAAGGCCCATTTAACAAAAAATGCAGTCCAATTTACCAATTTACCAAACTCATCTGCGATTGTTGAGTAATGAAAGCTAATCGAAATCGAATAAAAATTATGAACTCTAACGTTAAACTATAATCCAGAGAGAGAAGAGAGAGAGAGAGAGAAGAGAGAGAGAGAGAGAGAGAGAGAGAGATGGGGTTTAACGTCCACTCGACAGACGACCATACTCTTTGTCACGTACAACCGGGGATTCGAAACCACGCCAGTCGACTCAATGACAGACTTTATGATACAGCGCGCGCACGCTAACCATTCAGCCATCCAAACCCCTATAATCACGAACTGCCCGTGCAAAAATTGACCCCAATCGACAAATTTGGGATATCAACATTTATATTTCAAATTTCATAAAAAATATAAAAAAATTTTAATGGGAGCTCTGAAGATTCGACTAGCTAAAAGTACTATTAACAGGAGCTATGGCATAAAATTACTGTTTAATATTACACTTATGCCAATATTTATTGCGAGAAAGATTGTAAATGTGTTTTTGTTGTGTGTGTAATATTTATATAATTTAATCATTATCTTTTATCTATGTCCTGAACTGAGAAGACGATGTTGTTTTATTATATATCGGTAGTGTTAAACCACCTCTGATGAACAGTGTGGTTTTATTAGATACTAGCAGGATACCCGGCTTCTCTCGGGGGTCTAACTCCGAAACCGGAAGTGGTAGACTAACGCCACCTGGTCCGAGCTACCCCTATACCCCAAATTTCAGACTCGGGGCAGACCTAGTGTAGCCGCCAACCCCGTACAGACAGACAAACAGACAGACAAACGACAGTCACAAATATTACTATAGATTGGTAGTTTAGAATCACCTCTGATGAACATTTACCCATACTTTCTTCGATTTCTTTCGTCCGAGTAAATTTCCTACAAAGTCTAACATATGTTGCTCCTGACAAGTTCGAACTATACTACAACTAATTTAGTCAATATATTTTCCCCACCATACCCCTCGCTTGATCAGAAGGGACATTGATGATCCTAAACCAAGAAATCATTCATCTGCCCTCAGCCTTTTGATTTTTTAAAACAATATTTTATTCAACATATCTGAATGGATCTTTGTAACACCTCTGTCCATCAACATTTTGATGATGGGTATCTAATCTGTGTTGAACAGATGGTGATAGACAGTTTTTTACTAGTCCATACATTAGCTACCTTATTTATAATCAGTGTAAACTATACCTGGTCTTGTATTGGATGACATAATAGTTGGTTGCGTTACCCCATAAGTCCCATCCATTTCGAGTGGTTCTTGTTTAATCGCTAGGCCTACTGGGTCACTCGTTCTAGCTGTCATATCTACTGCTATATCAGTTGTTTTAACATGATCTTCTAAAATATAATATATAAACATGGTATTAGGATATAAGGCTGTGATTCCACTAGTTATAGTATGTAGAATATAAACAGGTTAATATATAAACATGGTATTAGGATATAAGGCCGTGTTTCCACTAGTTATAGGATATAGAATATAAACAGGGTAATATATAAACATGGTATTAGGATATAAGGGCGTGATACCACTAGTTATAGGATGTAGAATATAAACAGGTTAATATATAAACATGGTATTAGGATATAAGGGCGTGATACCACTAGTTATAGGATGTAGAATATAAACAGGGTAATATATAAACATGGTATTAGGATATAAGGCCGTGATACCACTAGTTATAGGATATAGAATATAAACAGGGTAATATATAAACATGGTATTAGGATATAAGGCCGTGATACCACTAGTTATAGGATGTAGAATATAAACAGGGTAATATATAAACATGGTATTAGGATATAAGGCCGTGATACCACTAGTTATAGGATATAGAATATAAACAGGGTAATATATAAACATGGTATTAGGATATAAGGCCGTGATACCACTAGTTATAGGATGTAGAATATAAACAGGTTAATATCGTAAATCATCTTATGACCCTAAACACTGGATAAATGTAAAGTCAATTGATTATTAACTGTAGCGTCTAGATCATCGAGAAGGAATATACCTTTCAATAAAACATTTAAAACACATCAACAATGATATAAATAAATATTTTACCTTGCTCATCTTCTAATACATCGTTAAACATGGAGTCTTGGTTCTCATACAAAACACAGTTGGCGATATTTTTAACATTACGTCGACATGTTGATATTATCTCCTGCTTTACGTTGATCTTTTGATGGTCAGACTTCACCTTCGATAAAATAACAGTGTTGTTGGCCTTCTTGACCACAACTTTCACAACATCAACCTCGCCATGGTCCTTGTGTATCTCTGATCTGTTCCCGACTTCTGAATATGATACATCATAGTGTTCATCGATTCCACCAAGCATTAACTGGTTTCTATCACCCAATCCTCTTATCATTTCTTCATGGCTCTCATCTCTACCTGAATTTAAAGATATTGTAAAATAGCATTACCTTTTCTTACCTTTTCCTGGAGAGAGAGAGAGAGAGAGAGAGAGAGAGTATAACGAATTTGTGATAAAATTTAATCAGTTAAACTTACTTGATTCTAATTGTTCAACTATTGTCGTGTAACCTTCTTCCTTTAAACTATCAATGAAACTTTGGTAGGAATTTGGTCCGCCATTAAGTAATGTATTAACTAGTTCACGGGTCATAGCCCTTTTTCCTTTTACGTCTTTTATTTTTTCCATATCGTCCGTATCAAAAACTGATTTTCCAAACAGACGATCCGATAAACGTTCCGGATCAGTTATATTATCCAGTAGAAACGCATAATTATCTTTAATGTTTTTTTCATCCTCTTGAAACATCTTTCCTCTCTCTCTACGACTTGGTTCATATTTGCGTTTCTTAGCACGAGATATATTGAGTGTATTAAGGCTGCTGCCATGATGAAATGTTGAAGTACTGGCTAGTTCAGTGTATGATTGTCTGCTAGTTGAACTTAACCACTGTGTTGATTGTCTTTCCCTTTCTAGCAGTTGAATTTCCATTTCTCTTTTGTCCAAATCGATTTCCTTTTTTCTTGTATCTTCAATCAATTTAGCACGTTCTTCAGTCCATTGTTTCAGGAGTTGCTCCTTCTCTTCCTGCCAAATCTGTTCTTGGCGATTCTGTTTCTCGCATTGTTTCATGAGTTGTCCCCTCTCTTTCTGCCAAATCTGTTCTTGGCGATTCTGTTTCTCGCATTGTTTCGTGAGTTGCTCCTTCTCTTTCTGCCAAATCTGTTCTTGGCGAATTTGTTCTTTCTTAAGTTCGTCTCTTTCAGCTAAAGCTTTTTGTTTGCCATCTTCTTCGTCGCATATTCTTGCCTCAAATAATTTCTTCGCCTCTTCGTACATTTCGTTTTCATAAAAGTCTCCACCATTATTCTGTATAGTTGTCTGAAGTAATTGTAAGATTCTGTTCACATCCTTCATCTTGCCTTCTGTTTCATCTATGTTATTGATCGTTGCGTATCGGCGGTGTTTAAAAACATCACTAAATGTTGATAACTGAGTATGAAGTTCATGCATAGCCTCTTCTTCACTTCTGTTTCTCAGATGATCTTTCCCAGTAAATACCACAACGGCAAATTTATCAATTAATTCACCGAAAGTATTTTTAAAATATTCAAGAACTTTTATGTCCTCTTGTGAGAGTCTTAAGTCGATTCGAAAGACAAAGATAAATAAATGTGGCCCTGGTGATAAAATATTAATACATTTAACGATTTCCTTAGCTATTGTTTTGTTACTGTTACCCGTGTCAAACAAACCTGGTGTATCCACAACTTTTAGTAAGGAATCCACACCATTTAATTGAAGATGTCGTTGTCCTAAACCACATTCTGATGTTACAGAGGTGGGCTGTTGTTGTGATTTAAAAGTATCTTGTTGTAACAGCGCATTTCCTAATGCGCTCTTACCAACTCCTGTCTTTCCTATAATAGATACCCGGATTTCTGAAGAATAATAAAAACACCATTAGACTACTGAAGTGATCAAAGATTTATAAATATTATAAAAGTACACTAGCACACAAGTTCAGATTGAGAACAATTATTGACATTTAAATGGTATTTGGTGTTCAATGGTCAAGTGTGTGAGATGAATTAAGCAGGGTTTATCGCCCTACTTTTCTTGAACCAACTGGGTTGAAGTAAAGCCTACCCCACCCCACCACTAGAAGTTAAATAATGTGAGCAGTGATCAAAGGTCGTCTATATTTGAATAATGATTTTAGTAATAGACTAAATTTTATAATGGCGCTGTTCAATAGGTCCTTATAACTGGCCAATAGAGTTTATAACTGGTCAATAGAGTTCATATTTTAATGTTTATGTTTAAAATATATTTACCTGTACTAGTATTGCCATGTGAAACTAAAGCTGATACTGTATCTGTACTACTACTGGTACTAGCTGATGGCTGTGTTTCTATTTGGGGGATTGTATTCTTCTTAGTGGAATGTCTTGCTGAAGATTTCCCTTTACCATTATTTATCTTGCCTGACATGATGCCTTGAATAGATCGTCCTGCCAATAAAGTTAATAAGGATTGTAATAAATGAACTCGACCACAGCAGAGAGATGAAAAGAGAGAGAGAGAGAGAGAGAGAGAGAGAGAGAGAGAGAGAGAGGTCGAAATATTTATGAATGATTGATATATATAGACAGCCAGTAACATAAACTGTGAAGTCCCTATAACTCTTGACAAAAGTGTTTAGTATGATAGAGTACAGATGTGAAACCTTTGCTAAAATTTGACTGAATCACCGCTGCCAGGACAAAATGACCCCTCCGTTTATTGCATAGCGATTATCAATACATGTACCAGTGCTATTGGCGCAGTGAGCATTACACAGAAAGTCATAGGTTCCATTCTAGAGTTGGCCGAGAAAATCAGTGGTGTAGAACAGAGGTCCTAGCAAGGTGTCTAGTTTTTCGGACGTCCAGCATTGTACTTGCACATATGAAATAACTATAATAGCTCGCAGCACGCTGCATGATGCATGCCCATTTTCATTTACCCATTGGTGCAGAAATGTAAGATGTTTAATTGACCCAAATTTGGGAATCAATAGGATTCGTCCTCTGGCTAAAACAAACAATAGAGTACAGACTGTCACAGTCACGTGGTTTTCAGAAAAGATGGGAAGTCTCGCTTTAGTTAAATTCTTAAAATAAGCCATCGTTAAGAACCACGTTCAGAAATTATGACTGATACGAAATCTTAATGAAGACTTGGGATTTATAAGAACTTGTTAAACTGAAGCAAATGTTTGACTATAAACATACTGAGTTAAGTTCAACAAGACGAAACACGTTTGGTAATACAATAGACACAGCGATTCAAGCTTCTCTAGTATAGATAATACGCCACTAAAATTGTTAAAGATAGGTTGCCAGGCAACGAAACATACGCCCACAGCAGCTAAATCGTCCGGGCAGTCAACAAGAGTTGTCGCATATTTTTAATTTTCTGTAATGAAACATTTATAATACACTAAAATCTGATTACAGATTTAAAGTCAATCGGATATTAACTTTGGCGTCCACAAGATTTTTTGTAGTGATTAAGGGCCATAACTCTGACAGTAATTATCGGAAATCTCTGAAAACAAATAGGCTTCTTTGTCTCATGACCTTAAACACTGTGTATAAATTTAAAGTCAATCGGATATTAACATTTGCCTCTAGAGCGTCCACAAGATTTTTCAAAGTGATCAAAAGCCATAACTCTGGCAGTAATTATTGTAAATTGCTAAAAATCAATAGGCTTCTTCGTCGCATGACCTTAGACACTGTGTATGAATTTAAATTCAATCGGATATTCACTTTGGCCTCTAGAGCGTCCACAAGATTTTTTGAAGTGATCAAGGGCCATAACTCTGGTAGTAATTATCGGAAATCGCTGAAATCAATAGGCGTCTTCGTCTCATGACCTTAAACACTGTGTATGAATTTAAATTCAATCGGATATTCACTTTGGCCTCTAGAGCGTCCACAAGATTTTTTGAAGTGATCAAGGGCCATAACTCTGGTAGTAATTATCGGAAATCGCTGAAATCAATAGGCGTCTTCGTCTCATGACCTTAAACAATGTGTATAAATTTAAGATCAATCGGATATTAACTTTGGCCTCTAGAGCGTCCACAAGATTTTTTGAAGTGATCAAGGGCCATAACTCTGGCAGTAATAATCGGAAATTGCTGAAAATCAATAGGCTTCTTCGTCTAAAGACCTTAAACACTTTGTGTATAAAATTAAAGTCAAACAGATATTAACTTTAGCCTCTAGAGCGCCCACAAGCAATTGTGGACGACGGACCGACGGGTGGACGGACGGGGGCGACGACAATATACGACCACATTTAAATATGGGCGTATAAAAATGGATGATTTATCAGAAAATAAAGAAGACAACGGTCAGACAGATAAAACTGTAATGGGTGTAGAACATTTACAAGTTAGGGTGGCAGTGGAGGCTACAACGATACAATTCGAAAAGGACATGATACAACAAATTTAAATCTTTTGACAACCCAATAGCTCAGTTTGACAATAATTCATGTAATAGTGTGAATATATAGAGTCGTGTCTACTTGACTGTATATACATGTGTGTTTTATAATACAAGTATCGTATGATACAAGACAGAGATGATGTCATCACGCCTGGTTGATTACGATTCAGTTAAAGAGACATATCATGGACAAATAATCAAAAAATGACAGAAGTTCAGTTTAACCAAGAATTTACAAATAATATACAAATTATAATTACCCCTGGATTTATTTATTTGATTTCATATATTCTATATTAAAGAGTCACCCAGCGGTTCATTCCCATATCGCCGACTCGCCGAGTTTTAGGGTAAAAATTTTAGTCGGTGTTAAGGGGTTGAGTGGCCAAGAACAATAGACCCAAGCTGAAGGATAAAACTAATTAACCAGATAATTTTGGGAGCATTTTTTTTTTTAAATGCATAACTTTTAACACATAGTCCAAACATTCTAACAAATTCACCCTTCCTTGTTCTTATCTATGTTTCGAAAATTCCTGTTGATATCGGTGTATTAAAGTGGTTGTCGCTGGTCACTTGAATACTGCAATAACCGAACTGCAATCGTCTTTTGCTCTTCTTGCAAAATACCATTATTAGAAGCTAAAGAGTTGTTGGTTATTCGCGTGGTTTGGTTGTGGTTCCATTGTATCTGTGTAAATTGGACGTCTAACCATTGCGTAACCGTATAGTCGGCCAACTGTCTATATTTCTCATTAATTTGGGAAATTTCTTATTACTGACTCTATAAACAGTATTCTTCTTGGAGTAAAAGGTTGACATGATGGCGATGGTGGCTATACATCCCTTGCTATAGCCACCCAGCTATAGCCTATATGGTATATCAGAATTAAAACGTATCAAATAAGATAATAATACAATATGCCTTTCTAATCAATGGATATATCGTCAACTACTTTAATATTTCAATAAATAAAAATAGATGATATAATTACTGTATTCAACAATATTTGGCTGGGTGATTCTTTTTTTCTTTTAAAATATAAAACATGTTATCGCCTACTCCACTCAGATTATGTTTTGTTTCTATTATTTTGTCTCCTACATCAGATATTTTGACGTTTCGAAAGGAAAATTACAGATGTCCCAGATATGGCTATGTTATTATCCAAGTTGTTAGTTGTTAGATATACCCTTGTAATAATGGTATATTCACACATCGATGACGTGAAGTATGTTTTATTAGAAGTCAATATATATCATATCTATATTACAACTTTTACAAAACTAACATAGGTCTACTCGATTGAACGTTCCAGAATTGAATTCTGGCAATCCCCAAAATTAGTGACACACGAGTGAAAAGGGGTATTTCGGGTTATAACACATGCGTCAACTGAATAAGAAAATATCTCAACCAACCATGCAGGCCAAACATATTTGTTGTGTTTAAACACGTCACTATTCTATTCACATCACCTCCGTGGTCAGGACTGACTGATCTGTGACAGGACCATGGGCGTCACCTGTACATATCCCAATATGTTGGTGTGATGTTTTAGTTTAACCCCGTAAAATATGCCAAAACAGTGTTTACAGAAGACTGAAACTTTAATATTTTTTTATGAGGGTGACCCTCCCACATCTCCCTATCGCACTACATCGTGCCCCCGGCGTCACAGATTGTCAACATTTTATATAATTTCATTTGCGGACCCCCCCCCCCAATATATATTTCACGGCTACGCCTCTGGACAGGACTGAATTCCGCGTTAATCGATAGCAATTCTGTCCGTTCTGGACTGCGAATCGAGCACCCCCTAGTAGCCTACAAGGTAGTACATTACTAATACATATATTATAGTAACATAGACTAGATTATATTAGACATTGTTGATACAACATTATTTAACAAATCATAGAGATGAATACAATACATGTACGTTAAGGTATATCTTTAAAAACTAAACAAGGTTAAGCATATACATACCAACTTTGTTTGATTCTAATATATTATATACAATGTTATAAAACCCCAGTTATTACCTTGTCTTGATCTGTTAAACAATTGTTCAGCTATTCCTCGTTCTACTAACCCTGTCCATCCCCTTAACAAACAACACGTCAGGTCTATTTTTAACTGGAAAATCCAGGCTTATATATATAGACACGTGCCGGCAAACCCGATTTCTATATTTAAAGATGCATTATGTTGGAGTTAAATCTGTTTATTACAGGTCTTTATATTAGCTTCAAAAGTTATAAAAATTATTATTTAGACATGTATTCACATGGCAAGCCTGTGATCAACCCATTCTCTAGAACATCGGATGGCGGAGATTTAAACGGATTGAAACTCGATCTCCATTTTATTCTGTCTTTGTATCATTAAATAATAAATATTAATGGGAGAAATTGGTCAGGAACACAAGATTTCTTCGAATTCCTAGTGCCGAGGAATATACAAAGATTTATATATGGCCTCAAATATTGAACAAGAATGATTTAGTCTGTCCAGTTTAAATGTTGTACACATAAATCAAATGACAACAATTGGTGCCAACGTCAAACTCACCCATAACCAAACTGCTCCCTCACCCACCCCAATTACAAAACAACGAAAAGAAAATCAAAAACAAAAATACTCTGATAATTCGCCCCACACCGTTTTACAAAAGCTTATAACAATAAAAGTGCTTACTAATCGTGGGACAATATCAACATAAAATATATGTTTATTTCATAAAATTAATTGAAAGAAGATAATATTTATTGATATGTTATGATAATAAAAGCTCCAATTGTACAACCATATTAATACAATAATATTATTTTAGAGGTATTAAGTAACTGGATAGAGCAATCAAATATAACACATACTTATTGAAAAACAGCTACTACTATATTTAGTAACTGAATACAGCAATATAACACTCATACCCTACTGTTCTGCCCCGACTGAGCTAATGAACATGGCATACGCCAAACAGTAGGCTATGAGGTAAATTTTGCCGTATAGCGGCACTATGGTCTACTCTTATACCGAATTCCAACTGCCAAGGGATCTTTTACGTGCATGCCAATGTATACAAGGGACCTCGGGTTTTCGTCCCATCCGAACGACTAGACAGCTCTCCTTGTCAGGCTCCCCGTTCTGTACCACTGACAAGGGGAAACCACGTCGGAAAACATACTTATGGAAAAACAGCTACTAATTTATTTGGTTGAAGCTGGGATACTGTCACATCACCATATTGATAACGATAATAATCTTTAATGCTTCTTATATTAATTACTAGCTGTTGTTCCATACAGGATGTGTAATAGTTTAATATAATACATATATTAAACTAGATTTAAAGAAGATTTCTTTATTCCTATCGTGTTTAAATAATAATGACATCATTACCTGGAATAACTGTACTTTGAATTACTTGTATCGGCGTCTACAGATGATATTTTACATCAGAGGATGAACGAATTAATATTTATACTGTCAGGTTTTAGACGGTGGGTGGAGATATAGTAGTCTGCATTCTACAAGACTCGATTACATAGTCTCTAAGCGCGCAATGCCTAAATCCATGAATGAATATGCAAATAAATTACTTGATAACAAGAGCTATTAAACTGGTTTTCCCCTTACGATAAATAGATATTGAGTCACATGTCACGTGTCTAAGTGATTTAAATGTAACCAGGTGTAAAATTTACCTGTTTATTTTAATAAATAGACTATATATATATATATTCAATTAACTAGTTTAATACCGAGTCTAATGACAGGAACTCATCTTTTTATTTAAACCCACCGTGTTATTAAGCTAGAGGTTTAGTTTCTTTAAATGACAAGACATATTGGTACAGAAGTAAAACTACTCAACATAAAACAGTTTATCAAACTGATGGAAATATTCTCACGTTTCTCTGTCGAAATTTACCAAAACTTCTATTTGAAGTCAACACCTAATTTTAAAGGGCTGCCATTATTACAAAGTTATATGTGTGTGTGTTTTATTTATTTCTTCTTTACAGACAAATACTGAAACACATAATTATGATATACTAGATTAAACAGAATCCTCAGTGACCGATGATCGACAATACTATAACTAATACCATTACTAGAACATAAATATCTTCCACGATACCAAATAAAACATCTAACTACCATGAAACTATAGACAGAATTTAAATCTGTTTTAAAACCTCATCTATTTAATAAGGTGTGATCATTGATATACTCTAGATATACTTTACCCATAATATACAATGTGACTGAACAGTGATTAGAAATAACCATTGAACATAATGTAGCGCTATATAAGACAATTATTATTATTAATTATTATAATTACATTAATATACTTGTCCAATATAAACCAAACAATCTGATAATAAAAGGACATTTCAACCTTCAATTAGAAAAAAAAACCAGTCCATAATATTTCTAAAAATTACTCAATAATCTTAAATGTGAAATCTGAAAATGCGCAGTAACTCGGCCAGATACATGTCGTACACCGTTTGATATAATGTTACAATCTGCCTACAAACAATACCACAGTACAGAAACTGCTTTACTCAAAATCACCAGCGATATCTACCGAGCTATAGATCAACAGAAATTGATCAAACGCTAGTTAATTTTGATAAAGAAATAATTTCAGGAACCCATAAAGCTCTAAATATTGGTGCTATATTAGACTCGAACCTATCGTTTAAAGATCATATACAAAGTATTTGTTCCACTGCTTTCTATCATATACATCGAATTGAGAAGATCCAACGCTATCTCAATTATGAAAAGAAAGAAAAACCCATCTACGCATTCATCTCAACTAAACTAGATTACCATAATGGCTTACTATACGGCTTACCAGACTATCGGATTAACAAACTACAACATGTTCAAAATTCAGCAGCTCGACTCCTCGCTAAACCAGAAAACATCAACACATCTCCCCTGTATTGCAATCTTTACATTGGCTTCCAATTCAGCAAAGAATTAAGTTCAAGTTACTCCCCTTTCGTTTTCAAAGCGTTAAATGACCAAGCTCCATCTTATATAAAAAGTTTTGTAGAACCCTACACTACCAGCAGAATTCTCCGTTCTCAGAAAAAAACATCTTCTAAAATCTCCAGCCATTAACTTACAACTTGGAAAACGTTCCTTTTCTTGTGCTGGTCCTTTTCTATGGAATAGACTACCACAAGTCCCCAATGGACTCGTTACTTTGGCGTTCACAAGGGGTATTCGTTGAGGTTCGCAAATCCGTTCGTTTGACATTTTGTTCTCTAGTCGGATAAACTAGTGATCAGGCGACGGACGGTATCTGGTCAGATCTATTTATCTCGACGATCGGTGCCTGGGAATACTGTAAGACAGCATTTCCGGCAGTCTATTTTTCAAAATTTTCTGGGGGAGGACTCCCTACTTTGACGCTCGTGAGTGGGCTTCGTCGTGATTCGCAAGTCCGTTCGTTTGACACTTTACCTCATCGATCAGTGCCTGAAATACTGCCAGGTTGCATTTCCGGCAACTTGTTTTTTAAAATTATCTGGGGGAGGCCCCCTACCCCTAGTCGAAGCTCGTGCCTTTGCCCCCTTAACCTTGCCCCAGCTTTGCCCCTCCAATCACCGACAGCTGGCGCCGCCACTGTGAGTATATAAACAAACAGAGCCTTAAAAACTGTTTTCTTCTTCAGTATTAACGCGCTTTATAAATGACGATATTATTATTATTATTATTATTATTATTACCTTAACTTGATCTGTCAAACAATATTGTTCGTCGTTCGACTCACTGTACAATATGTCCACCCCCTTCACAAACCACACGTCAGGCCTATTTTTACCTGGAAAATCCAGGCTAATATATATATATATAGACAGGTACGGGCAAACCCGATTTCTTATGCAATAGTGGACATTTATTTAAGTTACTATAAATAACTCTGAATTTCAAGTGCTGACAAAGTTAAAACCTTATTTACCACACCATCTTAGAATTTTATTTTTCAACTTCAAAAACGTGCGGCTAGGAGCATTTTGGATGAAAAACCTGATTCACATTCGTCACCTTTGTTTGAGTCTCTAAATTGGCTTACAATCCACCAACGCATTCAATACAACCAAGGAATGCTCACCTTCAAAATTCTAAGAGACAAATTACCATCATATTTATATAACACATTTTATGAAAATTCTAAATTGACCGAAACTACCATGACATTGAGATCGGAAAGTCACTTAGTCAACTTAAATTAACAATTCCAAAAAGTAAGAAAATAGACAATGACATGTCTGTGAAACATGCGTCTTCAAGTTTTATCTTCAAAAAGGAGTTAGTAAAACATGTTACATCTTTGAACCCTTGTTTTATATATATATAATTACTTTTTTTTCTTGTTTGTAAGCTTATATATTATGATATATATGCACTTTGTAAATATTATTACTGTGTAGTTGCTAGTTTTATAGAGTAGGAAGGACATGTTGAAAATTAGAAATCATGTACTAAATATGTTCCCTCAGAAAATAAAGTCATTATTATTATTATTATTATTATTATTATTTAGTAACTGGATAGAGCAATCAAATATAACACATACTTATAGAAAACAGCTGCTACTATATATTTAGTGACTGAATACAGCAATATAACACGCATACCCTACTGTTCTGTTAGTCCCGAAATGACCTAGTTTGTGTCGAGTGGACGTTAAACCCCATTTCTCTCTCTCTACTGTTCTGCCCCGACTGGGCTAATGAAGACGGGCATACGCCATACAGTGTGCTATGAGGGAAATTTTCCCCGTATAGCAGCACTATGGTCTACTCTTATACCGGATTCCAACTGCCAAGGGATCTTTTACGTGCATGCCAATGTATACAAGGGACCTCGGGTTTTCGTCCCATCCGAACAACTAGACAGCTCTCCTTGTCAGGCCCTCCGTTCTGCACCACTGACAAGGGGAAACCACGTCGAAAACATACTTATGGAAAAACAGCTACTAATATTGATAACGATATTAATCTTTGATGCTTCTTACATTACTAGCTGTTGTTCCATACAGTATGTGTAATAGTTTAATACAATACATATATTAAACTAGATTTAAAGAAGATTTCTTTATTCCTATCGTGTTTAAATAATAATGATATCATTACCTTGAATAACTGTACTTTGAATTACTTATACCGGCTTCTACAGATGATATTAGAAGATGAACGAATTAATTTTACTCTGTGATAGTAGTCTGCGTTCTACAAGACTCGATTACACAGTCTCTAGACGTGCAATGATTAAATTCATGTATGGATATGCAAATAAATGACTTAATAACAAGAGCTATTAAACTGGTTTTCCCCTTACCATAAATAGATATTTAGTCATATATCACATGTTTTAAGCGATGTAAGCGGAGTTTGATATAACTTATCCAAAAGGTAACTAGTGTGTGAAATTTACATGTTCAAATTGGTTAGTTTAATAAATAGGCTAGTAATATAGCCTATACAATTACAGACCTTATGTTCATATAACAATACATACCAGTACAAAATTACATACCTATATGTTCATATAACAATATAAACAATAAACACTACCTTGTAAGAGTATATAGTCAAATAGTTACTCGTTTCCAAGAATTACACAAGTATAGTTTCTGAGAAGCCAGTATTCCTCGATATCTGCTGTTTAAAGTTATAACAGTTATATCATACATATGACCTATATCACTTCGTTCACAGTCATTATTTACATTATAAAAGAGATATTTTCAGTATACGCAGCTATTGTCAAGTTTTTGTGCATTACACATGCGTATGTACAAATAAAATGAAATGGGGCTCAACGTCCTACAGTTCTGCTCCGTTTGTGCTAACGGGCAAACGCCATGCAGCTTGCTATGAGGGACATTTTGCCAAGACAGCGGCTGTATGGCCTACTCTTATCTCGAATTCAAACTGTCAATGTTTCTTTTACGTGCATGCCTATGTGTACAAGGGATCTCGGTCTTTCGTCCCATCCAAACGACTATACGTTGTTGCGTGCAAGATCATCCGCCCTACAAGACAGACAAAGCAGAATCACGCCGGAAAATCTCGATGAACTTTCTCGGCCAAAGCAGGGATCGAACACGGGACCTCTAGGTTAGCGAGGCAACGTCCTAAGCACTGAGCCACCATGGCTCTGAATCAGCCTTACGGGTTGGCGTATAGTATTGACAAGTCCCTAAATTACTTAAGAATGAATGAAGTTTAACGTTCCACTTGTCTGCACTGACTTATAAGCATCAATAAAATATTGATCTAGTTGTAGATTTACTCTTTGGCCTGTACCTTAATTACAGCCTCTCTTGCTACAGTAAGTGTCAATTGTTATCTTAAAGATACATTATGGGAGATGAGATAAAGAGATGGCAGTTCTCGCTATAATAGTTAAAAACTAGATAGTGTAAAGGTAATTTGCTGAAAATTTCAGTCAAATTGATCCACTATGAGCCGAGAAAGAAGCAGGTGAAATTTTTGCATAGTCTCGGTCATCATTACTAAAATCATTAATAAAAACAGCATAGTCTCGATTATCCACTTTTTCTGATTTAATTATCAACGGCCGTTAGCGGTATATAGGAATCTAATCCAGCCAACATCGAAGGCTAGCCTTGACATCGAGAGTTTATTATTGTCTGGATAAGTTAATTAATGTCTAATTGATAATTTAGATAACATTTCAGGCCTAAAGAAAGACTTGTAATAAACAGATTTTGCTCTTGCATAATGCATGTTTAATTACAGCCTCTAATTACTTTCCATGGACACAAATTTGAAGAGGGTAATTTTTGATGATATCTTTTATTCATTGACATTCTTAACAAACATTCCTGGTCATTTTGACATTCTCAATGAACCATGTTGGTCATTCTGACGTTCTCAACAAACTACCCTGGTCATTTTGGGACTAACATACGGTAATTTTAATTTTCTATGTTTACATTAGTCCAGTTGGTACAGAAAAGTTGAACGATAAACCCCATTTTATTTTGGTTTTAGTTTGTCAAGAATATCGCTATCTATGAAATTCTGTATCGCTTAATTCACATTAATAAAAAAAAAAAAAGGTTGGAAAAAACTACCATGAAATTAGTCAGGTAGGTATAATGAAATAAAAATAGAAACTTTATCGCGATCAACATGAACAGATTATCCCGGTGTCGTTTAGCCAGTTTTGAACACTCGTTTATTAAAAGTATAATTTGATTATTTATCTGAGTTATCGTCGTTAGTGTTGGAATAAGCTACAACCCCCAGAATACAGCACTACAGCAATAGTCATGAATTACGAGGTAAACTATATGCTAGATAATTCTAGATAGTGTATTGTTTGAATATATAATTCATGTAATAGAGTGATGTTTAGATGTCCGTCTACACGACTGTATATACATGTGTGTTTTATAATACAAGTATCGTATGATACAAGTCAGGTCACCACGCCCCGTGGATCACGATTGGACAAATAATCAAATAATGGCAGACGTTCGGTGTAACCAAGAATACAAATAATGATTACCCTTAGATTTATGTATTTGATTTCATATATTCTATATAAAAGATTCACCCAGCTATAGCCTATATGGTATATTAGAATAAAAACCTATCATTGCAGATAAGATTATAGTACAATATGCCTGTCGTATCACAATGGATATATCGTATTTCAATAGATTTTATAATTACTGTATTCAACAATATTTGGCTTGGTGATTCTTTTTTTCTTTTAAAATATAAAACATTGTTATCGCCTACTCCACATAGATTTTGTTTTGCTTCTATTATTTTGTCCCCTATATCAGATATTTTGATGTCTAGATGTCTTATGAAGAAACTAAGTTACAATTGTCCCAGATATTGCTATGTTATTATCCGAGTTGTTAGTTGTTAGTTATACCCTTGTAATAATGGTATATTCACACATCGATGACGTAAAGTATGTATTATTAGAAGTCAATATATATCATATCTACATTACAACTTTTACAAAACTAACATAAAATATTTAAATTAAATAAACTTTAAATTACATGTCACTTACTTTATTGACACAGGCTTCAATATGATAATAATCCTCTCTATAGAGTCTTTTATTTCAACAATTTAATGGCGACGTTACAGTTTAATTTACTTCCTAGTTGTATCAGGGGTTGGTATAATAAAATGATTGGTTGCTATATATTAGTATTTTCGGGTTATAACGCATGCGTCAACTGAATAAGAAAATATATCAACCAACCATGCAGGCCAAACATATTTGTTGTGTTTAAGCACGTCACTATTCTGTTCACATCACCTCCGTAGTCAGGACTGACCGAACTGTGACAGGACCATGGGCGTCACACATGAGGGGGTCGGGTCTGAATATAATTGCCCCCCCCCCCCAAAAAAAAAAATAAATAAAAAAAATTACATAGTAGGCCCTAACTCCTATATAATTACAACAATTATGAGGATAAGTTAAGATTCTATCTGTATAAAACCTGTACATATCCCAATATGTTGGTGTGATGTTTTAGTTTAACCCCGTAAAATATGGCAAAACAGTGTTTACAGAAGACTGAAACTTTAATATTTTTTATGGGGGTGGCCCCCTCCCCAGTGGGAGGGTGACCCTCCCACATCTCCCTATCGCACTACATCTTTCATTTCTGTCCTTCTGGACGGCGAATCGAGCACCCCCTAAGTAGCCTGCCTACAAGGTACTGTAGTACATTACTAATACATATATTATAGTATCATAGACTAGATTATATTAAGATAGAGTTGATACAATATTATTTAAGAAATCATAGAGATGAATACAATACATGTACGTTAAGCAGGGGCGGATCCAGGGGGGGTTCTGACGCTTCCGGAACCCCCTCAAGATTTTTCGGTGCCCTTTTTTCCCGAACGGACTTCCATACACCGGCAGATATTTGGGCCGGCAAGTGGCGACGCCGCGCGGTGAATGAAGACGTCAACGTCATACAATATGGCGACCCCCTTGCCAGACGGCAAGATGAAAATTTTTCGGTAGTTTTTGTTCCTATTTGCATCTAAAATGCCGCGACACGATCATATCAAAAGGAAAAGGGAGGAAGATAAAATTGCTGCAGCCGCTCAGTGTACCAAAATCTTTCGGTAAGTGTAAAATTTTACTGCATTTGTTGATTTTTAAGGTGAAGAGAGTAGTCTGTGCAGCAGTCGCTAGATATTTACTATCATCAATGTACAATTAAAAGAGCATTTACACACTTCAAGCTTAGTGATTTGGAGGGCACATTAAGGCCTAAAATAGGGCACTGTTACGTGAAAATCATGGGTCTAAGGGGCACATTTTTTGCCGAATCGATATAAAATAGGGGCATCTTTACATCAAAGGGGCACTTTTTGTACCTAAATGATTAAAAAGGGCATTTTAATGTGATACCCTTGAATGAGGAGGGCACATTCAACGCCAAGTCGATATACAGAGGGCATTTTAACGTCAAAACCATGGATTGCAGGGGCAATTTTTACGTCAAAAGGATTCAAAGGGCATTTTCACGTCAAACTCTTGGATTTGGAGGGCACACTTTATGGCGAATTTATTTAAAGAGGGCCTTTTTATGTCGATCCCATCGATTTGAGGTCAGATAATAGGTCTCAATGTTTTGTTTTCAGTCCAATAATTCTTTTTACGTCAAAAGGATTCAAAGGGCATTTTCACGTCAAACTCTTGGATTTGGAGGGCACACTTTATGGCGAATTTATTTAAAGAGGGCCTTTTTATGTCGATCCCATTGATTTGAGGTCAGATAATAGGTCTTAATGTTTTGTTTTCAGTCCAATAATTCATGGTTCAGTATTTTGCATTTTAAGTAAAATAAAAATTGAAAAATTCCATTAATTTATTTTGTTTAAACTTACAATATTTCTTTCTCATGGTATGTGGAATGTTGTTGCAATGCTGTATTATAAATCTAGTTTTATGCCTCTAAAACCCACCAGAGTGGCTTAGAATGGTCTGATATTTAAAAAAATTTCCCCAGACCCCCCGCTAGCGCGCGCCTACGACGCCCGCCAGTCATGGTTACTGTATTAGACAAAAATGGGGTGCCCTTATTTGAAAATGGGGTGCCCTTATTTTTTGGGAACCCCCTCCAGCTAGAGCCCTGGATCCGCCCCTGTTAAGGTATGTCTTTGAAAACTAAACAAGGTTAAGTATATACATACCAACTTTGTTTGATTCTAATATATCATATACAATGTTATAAAACCCCAGTTATTACCTTGTCTTGATCTGTTAAACGATTGTTCAGCTATTGCTCGATCTACTGCTTACAATATAATGTCTAACCCTTTAACAAACGACACATCAGGTCTATTTTTACCTGGAAAATCCAGGCTTTTAGACACGTACGGGCAAACCCGATTTCTATATTTAAAGATGCATTATGTTGGAGTTAAATGTGTTTATTACAGGTCTTTATATAAATTATTATTTATTACAGGTCTTTATATTAGCTTCAAAAGTTATAAAAATTATTATTTAGACATGTATTCACATGGCAAGCCTATGATCAACCCACTCTAGAACATCGGATGGCGGAGATTTAAACGGATTGAAACTCGGTCTCCATTTTATTCTGTCTTTGTATCTTTAAATAATGAATACTAATGGGAGAAATTGGTCAGGAAGACAAGATTTCTTTGAATTCCTAGTGCCGAGGAATATACAAAGATTTATATATGGCCTCAAATATTGAACAAGAAGGATTTAGTCTGTCCAGTTTAAATGTTGTACACATGAATCGAATGACAACAATTGGTGCCAACGTCAAACTCACCCATAACCAAACCGCTCCCTCACCCACCTCAATTACAAAAACAACGAAAAGAAAATCAAAAACAAAAAAACTCTGATAATTCGCCCCACACCGTTTTACAAAAGCTTTGTGGGGTAATATCAACATGAAATATATGTTTATTTCATAAAATTAATTGAAAGAAGATATATTTATTGATATCTATGACAATAAAAGCTCCAATTGTACAACCATATTAATACAATAATATTATTTTTAGAGGTATTAAGTAACTGGATAGAGCAATCAAATATAACACATACTTATTGAAAAACAGCTACTACTATATTTAGGGACTGAATACAGCAATATAACACTCATACCCTACTGTTCTGCCCCGACTGCGCTAATGAAGACGGGCATACGCCATACAGTGTGCTATGAGGGAAATTTTGCCCGTATAGCGGCACTATGGTCTACTCTTATACCGAATTCCAACTGCCAAGGGATCTTTTACGTGCATGCCAATGTATACAAGGGACCTCGGTTTTTCGTACCATCCGAACGACTCGACAGCTCTCCTTGTCAGACCCTCCGTTCTGCACCACTGACAAGGGGAAACCACGTCGAAAAACATACTTATGGAAAAACAGCTACTAATTTATTTGGTTGAAGCTGGGATACTGTCACATCACCATATTGATAACGATAATAATCTTTAATGCTTCTTATATTACTAGCTGTTGTTCCATACAGGATGTGTTATAGTTTAATATAATACATATATTAAACTAGATTTAAAGAAGATTTCTTTATTCCTATCGTGTTTAAATAATAATGATATCATTACCTTGTATAACTGTACTTTGAATTACTTGTATCGGCGTCTACAGATGATATTTTACAGCAGAAGATGAACGAATTAATTTTACTCTGTGATAGTAGACTGCTTTCTACAAGACTCGATTACACAGTCTCTAGGCGTGCAATGTTTAAATTCATGTATGGATATGCAAATAAATGACTTAATAACAAGAGCTATTAAACTGGTTTTCCCCTTACCATAAATAGATATTTAGTCATATGTCACATGTTTTAAGTGATGTAAGCGGAGTTTGATATAGCTTATCCAAAAGTTAACTAGTGTGTGAAATTTACCTGTTCAAATTGGTTAGTTTAATAACTATACTAGTAATATAGCCTATACAATTACATACCTATATGTTCATATTACAATATATACCAGTACATTATTACATACCTTTATGTTCATATAACAATATAAACAATAAACACTACCTTGTAACATTGAGATAGTCAAATAGTTACTCGTTTCCAAGAATTACACAAGTATAGTTTCCGAGAACCCAGTATTCCCCGATATCTGCTGTTTAAAGTTATAACAGTTATATCATACATATGACCTATATCACTTCGTTCACAGTTTTTATTTACCAGTGCCGGATTGGGCCCACCTAAGCGCATTAAAAAAAAGTGGGCTTAAGCCTATAAAGAAAAAAGAGAAAGAAAAAAGAAAAAAAAGAAAAGAGAAAGAAAGGAGAGGGGGGGGGGAGAAAAGAAAGAAGGAAGGAGAGGACAGGGCACAGGACAGGAGAAAGAAATGATTGGAAGAAAAATGAACACAAAAAAAGAAGTGTACTACAAGAAGAGAATTAATATAGTAACTAGAATTGCGCGCAATACTGAAGGCTTTCACTGTCGCCAAGGCGTCACACGATCGCCAGATATATGACAAAAGACTATCCCCACCACTCCCCCCACCTCCCCAAAAAACCCACACTCTAGCATAACTCAGATATTGACCCCTAAACATGCTCCAACTCGTTAAAATACGCTGTTTTCAATTTTCGAGGTCTTTTTTTAGGCTACCCATGACAATTAGAAACATTGTACAAGGGTTTCACACAATACACTACCCAGTAGAGGTCACAATTTTTATCTGATTTTGTTGAAACTTGAAATGTAAGTTTATAACCCAAAGATCTCGGTTCCTTTCGGTATTCGTGCATATTGGACCGTAACTTCCTGAATTATGCCCCCTGATTGTACGAAAAATCGCATTTTTAGCTTGTGGACCCTATAATAGAGGTCATAATTTTTATACGATTTAAAAAAACGTATGATTATATCACCGTTACACCCTAAGGACGGATGTGTTTGAATTTCGTGAAAATCGCCCAAAAATTGACAGATAAAATGGCCGCCGTTTGTTCTCAAATTTATAGCGTAAATATATGGTATATCAAGGTTGTGTACCCTATATAGGTCACAATTTTTATCCAATTTTGTTGAAACTTGAAAGATCTCGGTTCCTTTTGATATTCGCGCATATCGGACCGTAACTTCCTGAATTATGTCCCCTGATTATGTCCCCTGTACAAATACTCAGTAGAGCCGAGAAAATACTGACTAAATATAAATATGATTTTTTCCAAAATCCAAGCATTCTACTACAAACTAAAAATATGAAAATACTAGACACACTCTTTTTAAAACGACAAGACATTTAAATCTACATGCAAGCCATTAATTAGTATATTTGTTAATTTATTGATTTGATCAATTTTTAGATCAGAATTTTATTAAAATTTTAGTACCTTTGATTGTGTTTGGTCTTGAACTCTTCATTTAACTTTCTTATTCTGGCATGTTGAGGCTTTAAAATTATCCTTAATATTTATGGTTTTGTGTTTTTCAGAAACTATAGCAGTTGAAGATCCACATACGTGTGGAAGAGGGTTTAAGTGTTTAGATTATTTAGAAGGTACAGATTGTAATGAATTCTGGCAAGGGCCAAATTTTGGCATTACAAACTTTGATAATTTTGGCCTAGCTATGTTGACAGTGTTTCAATGTATCACAATGGAAGGATGGACTGATGTCTTATATGATGTAAGTATGTCTACACCTCTACATGTGTGCTAAGAGTAAATACATCTACATGTACATGTGTACATGTGTGCTAAGAGTAAGTGTGTCTACACCTCTACATGTGTGCTAAGAGTAAATACGTCTACATGTACATGTACTAAGCACTAGTGTTGGGTAATGCGATTCCTGTCACATCAATTTTGTTATATAGACTTTGTCACGAGTCTATAAAATCTGGTGCCTTGACACTTGATCGAGTTGTGATTTAGATCATACTATCACAATACATGTAGTCTAGAACAGTTTTACATATCCTACAAACAATTTTTATTGCGTCACTTTTTAAAAACTGCTTCACTTTTTTTTTTACATGTTGTTCAGTAACTATTTAAAATTTTCGAAAGCCAGATCACAGAGTTGCAGTTAGTTATTAATTGGATGGCACCCTCTGTGATGCAGGCTAGGTTATTTCGAGACTAACATATGATTCAATTTTATTTCAATAATTCGCTTGCGTGTGGGGGACTTTAGCAGGGGGAGTAACCAGAGAAAACCCACAAGGCTAAACAGGCGACCCTTATCCTTGTCACGTACAAGCTGGCAATCGAAACTACGCTACTTGACTCAATGACGGACCTTATGATTTATGGGACACGTGTTAGATCGTTATGCCACCAAACCCCCAGTAGCGGTTGAGAAGAACGTAATCTAACACATTCCCTGCTGCATTCCCCATGTGGCCTTTAATATATGCAAATTTATATTAAAAAACCAAATTCACTGAATCTCCCTAGACCACTCTCAAAATTGTCCATTAAATAATGTAATGTTAATTGTTTTATTTTCAGGTAAATGATGCAGTTAGTAATGAATGGCCATGGATTTATTTTATCAGTCTTATTATTATTTGTTCTTTTTTTGTACTTAATCTTGTTCTTGGTGTGTTGAGTGGGTACATACAATTATTAATGACATCAATCACCTTCTTAACTTTATTTCATAGAGCTTGAGACATGATGGCTCAGTAATAGGACATTGGCTAGCTAACCTTGAGGGATTTTAAGGTAGTGGCAAGAGTCAAACGTATAGTTGTTCAGATGGGACGCAAAACTGAGGTCCTGTATGTTTAAACAATCGCAGTATTGGCTCTTAGCAGACTGAAGGAAAATTGACTCGCAGAACTTGGATATACATGTACATGTATTAAAGCTATCTTCAAATAAAAAGTCTTGGCATTAATTTTTATGTCTGTCCGTATGTAAATATAAATATAATCCATTCTTATTGTTGTCACTGTTTTTTTATAGAGAATTTTGCAAAGAGAGAGAAAAAGCCAAAGCTACAGGAGACTTCCAAAAATTACAGCTAAAACAACAGTTGGAGGAGGTTTTACGTGGTTAGATTGCATCACACAAGCTGGTAAGGTTAATTTATTTAAATGTTTGGAAAAGTGATCAAAAGTAGACTGCAAGCTCATTGACCATGACCAGTCCTAACAGTTTGTTACTTCTGTCCATTTGAATTACAGCCATATATATATATGTATCACAGTTCAGGCCTCGAAATGTTTAAAAAAAGCTACCTGTCGCAAGGGACAGGTAGCTTTTTTTCATACCTGTCGCTTCAGTAAATAACCTGTCACTCTTAATTATCAAACTCAAAGAATAATCACATCACACATATCCATACATGTAGGTACACACATATGTGGTTAGGTCTTTGACGTACATTGCTCTATATAAATATCGTAATAGTTTTGACAAGATGTGTGCATAGTGGTAACCTGGGCCCTTATTCACGAAAACTTAAACTAAGATACAATCGAAATTTTAAGAAATACTGCAATTCGATTGGCTGACCAGTATTTCTTAAAATTTCGGTTGTAAATTAGTTTAAGTTTTCGTGAATAAGTTCCCAGGGCACTGGTATATTCAGGATTTATCCTCGCTTTCCCATTTTTAAATTAACTTTTTATGTGGCGAACTGTTTTAATCTAGTTAAAATCTTGAGTATCCGATGCCATCGAGAGTTGATTATGGTCTTGTTTTGTGAATTAATGTCTAATTAATAGTTTATATAACATTTCATGTCTAAAGAAAGACCTGCAATAGACCGATTTAGCTCTTGTATAATGTATGTTTAATTAAAAGTATCCAATATCTTCTGTTTTTTTGGCATAATTAACGCAAAAGACAACTAGTATTTTATTTTTGGTCTGATACCTATTTAGTCTATTTAAATCATTTCAGTTTCTCAAAATGATATTAGATCTCAGAATTATTTTGTTGTGTTTCAGGTTTATATTAGAAAAATAGAACCGAAGATGTAGATGATTTAGTCGTAAAATATTGAAATCACAAGTTTTTTATTGGCTAGTTATTATATTAGTATTTTTAAATACTTGTGTGTTAACATCAGAACATTATAGACAATTGAATGACTTGATAGTTTTCAAAGTAAGTTTTCCTTTCATAGAGTATCTTTGATTGATGCTGCTTTTTAGAGATAAAGATATTTTCTAAAACGTTATTTGATGCGATATCATGAACATCAAAGTCATGTGACTACACGGTGGATCAGTGAGTAAGGTGTTGGCTCGTTAACCCAGAGTTCTCAGCTCACTATTCCGGAGATCCCTCTGTTGGCCGAGAAAGTACTGGAGCCACAGTGGCTAAGCGAGTATGATGCTGGCTCGCTAGTCTGGAGGTAGCAGGTTTGATCCCGGTGTTGACCAAGAAAGTTCATTGGGATTTTCTGGTGTGGTTTTCTCTTGTCATTGGTGCAGGATGGAGGGCCTGACAAGGACAGCTGTCTAGTCTTTCGAATGGGATTGAAATCTGAGGTCCTGTGTACACATTTGACAGTTTGAATTCGATGTAAGAGTTGGCCGTAGCGCGGCTGTCCGAGCACGTTAAAGAACACTTGACAGTTGGAATTCGATGTAAGAGTAGGCTGTAGCGCGGCTGTCCAAGCACGTTAAAGAACACTTGACAGTTGGAATTTTAATTGATCTACATGTGGAAAATTTCCCTCATTATCCTCTGAATAAAATTAATAAATGTTATTTTTTTTATTTTCAGGTATCGCCAATCTGTTTTTTGTTGTGTTATTTACATTTGAAATGCTGTTAAAAATGTAGTTTAGGCTTCCAGGGTTATTTTGTGTCTTTGTTTAACCATTTTCACAGTTTTGTTGTGTTATGTAGTATATTAGAGGTGGTTCTAATTTATACAGAAGGTGTCAGTGTGTTGAGATGTGCCAGATTATTACGTGTCTTTAAAGCAACCAGGTAATTGATTTAATCCTCTCGTCAAACTCTTCTGATACCTTGACCATCATAGGTGAGTCTTTAGGGAGCTATGGTAGCTCAGTGGGCAGGCCCTGGCTCACTAACAAAGAGGTCCCAGGTTTGATCCTTGCGTGAATCTGTCCAACCTCATGGGTTTTCTCCGGATCCTTTGGTTTCCTCCCACTGCTAGAGACCCCTACGTGCAAGCGAATTATTGAAATAAAATTGAACCATATGTTAGTCCCGAAATGACCTAGTTTGTGTTGAGTGGATGTTAAACCCCATTTCTATCTCTCTGTATTAAATGTCCTGATGCATTGTTTTAAACAATAGGAATCACTTGCAAACTACAGTATCATGAAAGATGAATCTCTAATATGAATATTACTTCAAAGTTGTTCAATTCCATTCAATATTTACAAAGATATGTGGAATTGAAATTTCATTGATATGCTGCTCGCTATTAACAAGAAACCATCATCTTTTATTGGTAGTGGAGAAACCTGATGGGCTTTGTCTAAATCCGATTGAATCGAACCCGGGAGATTATCTAGCATTAGTATTTTGATTTGTTTTTCTTTATTAAATGTTTAATAATCAAACTGAATACATATTAGCGTGGATTAAGCCGTGAGGAATTTGATGTTTTAGCAACAAATGCAGGCCTGGAAATAATGGTTTTAGATGTACCTGACAAAATGTCAGACACTAATGAAATAGTACCGGACATTTTCAACTTAGTGCCAGACATGTATTAATAATATCAATAAAAAGACAAATTAGTGCCAGACAAAATGACAGGCACCAGAGGTTTAGTGCCTGACAAAGCCTGAATCTGTGTCTGACATTGTCTGTGACAGGTGCCTTATTTCCAGTCTTGGACAAATGCCAATTGCCCATTGAGACTTTAATGGTACTTTGCACCAGCTGTTTTTGTATTTTCACCTATTATATAATCTGGTTACTTCCTCATAAGGTGAATGAACAGGTTGTTCAATTTAAGAAATGCGTTATTCTAACCCTTAAGCTGCTGAATTGTAGACGTCAGATATGATGTCAACTAATTGTTTTGCATGACGTTGGGTGCCTCTATTTAAACTTAACTGATATAACAAAAATGACATCACCATTTTCATTACTGTCACTGAAATCTGAGACAAAAGTTGTCATTAAATTTTAGTTATGTTCTCTGTCTTCATCCTTGAATAATGCACCCAACTGAACCTTGATCATTGATCTAAATGTTACTCCTGGATCTTTGTGATCAAAGGGGAGATAATCAATTACAGTGTATGTTTCTCAAAGTGTACATTAAGTTGCGAACATGGAAGTTCAATAGAGTTGTGTACATACTCTCTGTCAACTTGACCCTGACAAGAAATGTTACTCCTGGATATTTGTAGTCAAAGGCTAGATAATGAATTACAATATGTTTCTTAAAGTTTGGTTTTTTTAAGTTGCATACGTAAATTCAATAAAGTTGTGTATGTATGCTTTGTCAACTGGACCCGGACAAGAAGTGAGCATGATGTACTACAACACTCGGCAAACCTCAGCATACTTCAGTACACTACATCTAGCCTCGGCTGTATGACAAATTCTGCCTTTGGAACTACTTTCAAGTTCCCGGATTACAAATGGCGTCACCCATGAAGAGTGTTTTATCATACAAAGCTTTCAATGTCTTTAAAGTTTATCCGATTTTCTTTAAACAAAGGACAAATTTGCAAGGAAAACTCTACACACTCCTCGAACAATGCAATTTTGAGAACTTTTTTCTAAAAGCGACAAGTTTTCCTGTTAAGTGAACTGGTAGCCACATCGCAATTGTATAGGTGTAGGTACATACAGCCGAGGCAAGATATAGGGTACCAGAGTTTGCCAAGGTTTTCTGAGTGGTACTACTAGTGAACTCATTATACATTAATTATTTGAAGATATTGACTGGTAAAGCAGGGTATGAAATAAGCCTCTTATATGGTAACCTCAAAATAGGTTATGCTAATCTGCCTGAAATTTGGTTACGATGCATCAATTTTCTGCCATATTTGTTTAGAGCTGACCCCCCCCCCCCCATTTAGGCATGCAATATGGTACAATTTGGATGATTTTACACCACTATAGATAGGTTGTCTACACTTTAACCCTAGGGTCAATTTAAAGATTAGCCAGGTACCCCTAAGCTCATTAAATCAGCAGGGTCCATCTCCCTAAGCCAATTAGTGGATTATTGTTAATCCTAATACCCACTATAAAATTGCAAATAACTTTACTATCAATAATATTGAAAAGTCAGTTCGACTAAAATTATGACTTTTCTCTGTCACCATGAACAAGCATCTCCTAAGATTTTTTTTTTTTTAAATAGAACAGAGTTCAAAGTAAATATAAATATTAATTTTAAAAAGAAATGTCGCCCCAAATGACCGTCACTTCATCGCTTTTGGATATATGGAGGGAATTGTCGTCTTCTTTGTTCGTTGCGTCGAAAAAAAAACCCCATTTATAGTTGAAATCTACGACAATGAAAAATTCGTCTACTTAGCTTGTATTAAATCCTAAAAGTTTTGATTCAATTTAGCTTTCCAAAGTCTAGAATTATTATCCGTAAGTTTTGTGGTATCGCCCGTCTGAAAGCGTTTCCAAGATATGATGGCTGACACGCTTGATCTCGACTGGAGTATGCATATTCTTTGCATCATAACGTCCCCAAAAAAATATAAATAGCTGATTTCATCGATACTATCATATTCCACAATATGCCTGGCAGTAAATCATAAAAAATCTGATTCCATTTCACTCTCCATGTCATAAAATTATTAGCCGTAAGTGACAACATGAAAATATTGGAATAATGCCAAAGTCATTGACACAGTGTTAATTTTCACCTCTGATATATTACGTAAATACCAGAAGATCCTTTGTTGGAACGTATGTTTTTTATTCGATAATTAGTGAATATAACATTCCTTTTTGTTAATTGGGTGTTTTATTTTTATTACTCAATCACCATTAATTTAAGAAATAAAAACAATAGAAATCTTGTTGATTGATCTGGCGCTTTTGTTTGCTAATGCCGTTGCAAAGCATGATGGGTCCGCGAATTGATTCGCTACTGCCAAATGACAGG